TTTGCCTGACTAACAGTGCTCACAAATGCTGCAATTAATTCGGCGGTGCAGTGTAAAATGTTTAATTAGTTAGCGGAAAATTTCATTTAACTGCAACAACACCCATGGAAATTGTGGCAGCAACCGTTTGCTGTCTGTTGCCCGTTGCCCGTTGCCACTGCCACTGCGTGCCAAGTGTTAATAAAGCTATGCACTGGCGATTATCGAACAACAAATCGAATAAACAAGTCAAAAAATATATTGAGAGAGGTTTTGGCAGGCAGCAGGAAAGCAGAAGCAAAAGTGAAATGTACTGCTAAAGGTCCTAGCTTTATAATTTTCATTATTCTAACGATATTTGGAGCCCAAAAATCGATAGATCTTGACCATCAATCCAACTGAAGACTCATCTGATTGCCATCGACTCGATTGAAATTGCCCAATTTCGCTTTAGCGCTCAATCAACGTTGATTGAGTATAATTTTACTGCCATTTTGATTGAATTTGTATGCCCAAATCTTGAGCACAGAGGTGACTGCTGCTGTTTGGCTGTTATGTGGCCGGGGCGTGGCCCCAAACTCTCCCACAACATCTCTTTCTTCTTCCCTTCCTCGTTCACCTTTTCACTGCGCTGTTGTAAATGCTAATTTTTATGGTTGTACATGAACATGAACAACAATTGTTGCCGCTGCATGGTTTGATGTTGCTGTTGCTGCTGCTCAGCCTCTTGTTGCTGTTGCTGCTGCTGTTGCTGATGTTCAGCAGCAACGACGACAAATCTTTGTATTGTCTTCGAGTTGCAGAGGGTTCACGTCTGCGCCCCGTCCCCCCCTCACGAAACATTGGCAATGCACAGCAACCGTTAGAGACTATTGTTGTTGTTGGTGCTGCTGCAACATGTAGCCTAGTTATTGTTGCCATGAACATCTTTCTTTGTCTGCAAACATTGTTGATGCTTTGTCATACCCGTTGCTCCAATTTCGAGCAGAAAGGAAAAATCCCTACATTTTGCTAGGGAATTGTTCGTATAAACCATTACTAATAGCATGTGAAAAACAACTACAAAGCGTTCTAGGAAAACGCTTTTACACAATCAAATGCAGCAGAGCAAAGCGCCGAGGGAGTTACCCCTTTTCGATACACTGAACTGTGCAGCGTTCTCCCTTGTTTTGTAATTTCTTAGGGTTTCAACATATGAATGTAAGTGAATGTCTGTTGAATGCATCTCACAATACGTTGCAATTGTTTTTGTTGTTGAATTTAATTCACTGTGGTTGTGGTTGCACCACAAACACGACATGACACAGGCTGCACTCGAGTGAATCTTTTTCAACAACGATTGCACCAACAACAAAATGGAACTTGCACCGGCAACAGGTGTCGCACTGTCTGTCCCAGAAAAGTTATCTTCTCCCACTCCCACCCGTTCGTTTTCTCTACCGCAACACTCAACCCTCGTTTTTGATCACTTGTCACTTTTGTTGTTGTTGTTGCTTTTGCTTACTTGCAATTCTCGGGCCACGCAGTTTGGCACTTGGCTTTCGTACACTCTTTTCGGCTCACAAGCGGCGTTATCCGGCGAAATCCTTGCGTGTGCAAAAGGATGCAGCAAGTAGTGGAGGAGGAGGAGGAAAAAAAAGCGAAAAAAAATGTATTCAACCGCTGACTGCGTCTGCGCGGCTGCGTTGCACGTACTCAACTGAATGGAGCGTTTCGCTTGTCGCCGCGAAATTCGGCCAAAAACGAAGTCGTCGATGAAGCAACAACACGAAAAGCAGCAAGCAGCCAGCAGCCAGCCAGCAGCTAACCGCAAAACCAGCAAGCGGCAACAAAACTAACAACAACAAGAGTCAGCGCAGCAAAATCCAACAACAAGAGAGTTAAGTATGGCCTGCTCGAGTGGTGGCTCGACCATGGGCATACCTAGTACTCTGCAGTGCATACATGAGAATGGAAATTGTAGCGCCAGTTGCTCCCCTTCTAGGCCCGATTTCAATCAATCAAATGACTACATAGAATCTGCAAAAAATGCATTCATTGAGTGATTTATGTATGCGAAATTCTTTTATTTTATTCATACCCTTACAAGAACACAGCAGACCCTGCTAATCCATGATCAATGTTTAAAGGGTAAAACAACTAGAGAAGCGAGATCGAACCAGCTGTTGCATATTATTGGCACATCGGGGGTCTGCAGTCGAACATGTTCGATGCTCTGATAACGGAACGGGAACGGGAACGGTGGCTCCCATGCAGTTCGAAGCATCACACGAAGATGTCTCCAAGTGAGCGAGCAAAGAGAAGGTCAAACTAGTTCGTGAGTGGGAAAGCGGCTGAGTGTGGGGGAGAGAGAGCATAAACAGTCTTTAAGAATAAATCCTGAAAGAACAAATGAAGTTAATCGAAGAACTTGAAGAAAGTTTTATCATAACATCAAAAACGCTTTCAGCTTCAGTACCGGTGGGTGTCCGTCCGCCCCGCTCGCCTAGAAATACCCAGAATGGGTTGGCCGAAAGACAAGCCAGAAAATGGCCAAATGAATTTATTAACCCATAAACATGCCTGAGAAAAGTCTTTTTTTTTTTGCTCGCTCTCTCCCGCTCATTTGGATTTTTCCTCGGGCAACTTTTGACTGTTGCCTGGCCGCCGGCCTGTGCTTTGTCAACGAGTATAATTTATGTAATCATGAGCCAAAAAAGCTAAAGAAAACAGCACAAAAGCCACATGATTTAGGTAAGCTGTTGAAATATGTATTTCATAGCGGCTCTACCTCAATCATCAGCTCTATCTCCCTCGCAATCGCAATGCCAATCGGCTGTCTCTTTCTCAAATCGTTTCGTTTCGTTTCGTTTGGTCTCTCTCTCTCTCTCCGATTTGGTGCTGCTCGTACAGTGTGTTGGGTGCTAAAGTGCAATTAGTGCAGATCAAACAGGAAAGAGAGCAGCTCTACGCTGCCTCACGATGGCTTGTGCTTCCACTCTTCCATAGTGCATCCGAACTTCCACTTGGCCAAAAGCTACACAATAAAGACACAAACATTTCAAATATTGGGGAAGCAAGTGCATCAGGGCAGGGTGGAATCAGCTTGAGAGACAGTAAGGAAGCAGTGCACAGGCGCAAGTACCGCCATAATAGATCGAATTAAGAGGGCAGCCAACTGGCAGTTCATTCCAGCTCGTTAGCTGGAAGTTAGCTACCATCGCTGCCTTTTCTGTGGCTTTTTCCATGGAGTACGTGAGGCGCGGCACCTAACACCTTGCCATCTATGACATAAGCAGCAGGCCTCAACATTTTTGTTGTTGTTTCTTTTCTTTTGACAATGCTCCCGCGTCTCGTGCTCGAGCCCCACGGTCCAGTTTGCAATGGAAATTATATGCCTTGAATGATTTTGGGTGTTCGGTTTTCGTAGTGCTGTTGCAACTGCAATTGGGCGGCAGCCACTGAGGCATAATGGACCGAAATTAAACAGAGAAGATATTATTCAATCCCTCAATTGAATTTCTTGGGACTTGGCTTTGGGTTTTGCGACTTCCTCAACCATGGGACACTGAAGGATTGAGCTCAAGAAATGCTCCATCAATCGTTAGACAAATCAGCTGCAAACAAATACTCAATCTAATGATTGATTGCAACTCATTATTTGCTTTTATTTTGATTTTATTCATACGACTCGCTTCCGTAATCCATTTTATTTTTTAGTGTTTTATTTATTTTATTAGCCATCCGCCCATTTGGTTGCACTCATCTCATCTCTCTCTTGAACTGAACTCTCTTAGTGGTTTAATGACCCAAATTCGTGGCCACAGACACAGATATGAGTGTCCCATATCCCATATCCCATATCCATTCGTGGAGTGTCATCATCATCGCTCATGATCGTGTGAGATCTCTTCGGTTTGCCATAACACTTTCCATTTGCACGCCCCTCTCCGCTGGCTCTGCGTTTCGTTCAAATGAAATCAAATATTTGCCCAAGCTTTGTGTTTGCCTGCGCCGCTCCATGTCTGCGTCTCTCCTATCTGTTTGATATTTCTCTCTCTCTCTCTCTCTCTGAAGGGTCTTATATAAGAGACAAGTCCAAGCGCTTTGGGTGGTTTATGGCACCGCAATTTGTGTGTGAGTCTGTTTGCGTTTCTGTTATTATTTTGTGAACTTTATTGCCAATACGTGTGCTGTGCGCGAAATTTGCAATTGCAATCGGTCATCCCATGTGCCAGGCGCCATTAGCAGACAGTTGATAATTGTCTGGCCTGGCCTGGCCACATCGACGACAGGCACCTACATACGAAATAAAACGTGGCAGCTGTTGGCCAAACGGTGGTGTGGTCAACAGCAGCCGTAACCTTGGCACACTTGAGACAGCGAAACTAACGGTCCAACACGGAAGCCACGCCCATGGCCAGCGGCGGAGGAGGCGGAGGAGGCGCGGGCACACGGAAATGCTCGACCATAATTGCTGGGAAGTTTCATACACACTTTGGCTGTGTGGCAAGTGGCAAAAATGGGGCGGGCGTGGTGCCAAAATAACGCAACTTTGTTTTTGCCACAAATTTGTGGGTTTGGGTCTATCTATTTGTGGGGAAAATCGTTGGGGATTTGTGTTAAAGTTGCTTTGAGGCATGGACATCTTAGAGCTTCAATCCAACTTGCTTTCGGCCAAAAGCCATGGCATGCTTTTGGCTGCTGAACTGATGCAAAAGCGTGGCCTATGCCACAGGCGCGGGCAGACGAGTGCCTCAATAGAGCTGACACTTTGCCGAATTATCAGCCACATTTTGGAGTGCTGCTGCTGATCACTTCCTCCGCAATCGGCACTTTCGGATGAGTTTTGATCGCTTGTAAAACTCACCAAAGAGCAAAATAAACTCATTGGAAGAAAACCCGAACATAAATTACATAAATATTTAATAAATTTGCCAATAGAATAACAAACAAATACAAATACAAATACAAATACAAAAAAAAAAAGTAAAACTTAAAAGTAAACTTACGCGATTAAAACATAATTTATGCAGCGATAGAGGGGCGTGGAGAGGGAGAGGGGAGACGTAACAACAAAAATTCATACGATTAATTCATTCACATTTGACTAGTTGAAACATAAATTAGCGATAGACAATGCAGGATGCTGTGGGGACAACTAGGAAGTCGAAGTCGAGGCCACCAGTGGTGGCAGCGGGGGTGGAGTGGAGGCCGGTGGCGTGGCTCTTCGGGCACCCCAATCCTCCTTGATGAGGTCGGAGGCCTTCTCGCCAATGGCAATGACCGGGGCATTGGGATTGCCATTGACAATGGTGGGCATAATGCTGGCATCGACCACCCGCACGCCGGACACCCCGTAGACGCGCAGGCGGGGATCCACGACGGCGGTGACATCCCAGCTGGGACCCATGCGACACGTGCCCGCCGGATGGTAGATGGTGAAGGTGAACTCCTTGATGCAGCACGCCCAGTAGGCGTCCGACTGGAAGGGCAGATGCCGGCAGCCCGGCAGCGGAATGTTGTGCAGTCGCGAGCCGAAGCGCTGGAAGGCCTGCGTGTTGGATACATTGATGGCCAGCTTGATGCCCTCGACGAGCACATCGATGTCCTCCTGGTGGGCAAAGTAGTTGGGCATAATCTTGGGCTGCTGCTGCGGGTTCCGCGAGTTGAGCCGCACCCAGCCGGTGCTCTTGGGCCGCAGCAGCAGCGGCAGTATGGACCAGGTCTCGCTGTGCTGCAGCGGCTTGTACACCGTGTTGTAGAAGCCATCCCGCAGATTGAGTATCTTGCGGATCTGCTCCCCGCCGTCCGAGTTGATGGAGCTGGGGCAGAAGTGGAACTGCACGTCGGGCCAATCCACGGCCGGATCCTGGTACTTGGTGTTCAGGAAGGCCACACCCTCCACCCCGGAGAAGGTCATGGGTCCGCGCTCGCGCATTATGTACTCCATGGAGACGGGTATGGTCTGGAAGCGATTGCGTGTCACGGTCAGCGGTGCATCGACCACGAAGGTGAGGCCGCCCAGGCCCACATGGTCCTGCATGTTGTTGCCCACGGGCAGATCCGAGATAACCGGAATATTATGCTCCTGCAGATGCTCCGCCGGACCCACGCCCGACAGCATCAGCAGCTTGGGTGTGTTCAAGGCGCCCGCACTGACCACCACCTCGCGCCGCACAAAGACGAGCTGCTTGCGGCCACCGCGCATGTACTCGACGCCAATGGCCCGCTTCTGCTTGTCGAAGAGGAGGCGCGTGGCCTCCGCATGGAGCACCACATCGAAGTTCTTGCGCTGGCGCACCGGACGGATGAAGGCCTTGCCCGTGCTGCAGCGTGCGCCCCGTCGGATGGTGCTCTGGGTGAGCATGAAGCCCGTTTGCTGGGCGCCATTGATGTCCCGATTCTCGTAGCCCATCTCCATGCCCGCCTGCAGGAAGGCTATCGAGAGGGGCGTGCGCCAGGGCGCCTCCTGCACGGTCAGATAGCCGCCCGTCTCGTGGTAGGGCGTCTTGGCCAGATACGGATTGCGCACGTCCTCCGACTTGAGGAAGTACCTGAGCATGCTGTCGTAGTCCCAGCCGGGATTGCCCAGCGCCGCCCAGTGGTTGTAGTCGTTCCTCGAGCCGCGCACATACACCATGGCATTCAGCACCGAGCTGCCGCCGAGCACCTTGCCCCGCGGCCAGAAGCACCGGTCGCCCTTCATGGCCTGACAGTACTGGCGCGTCGACGAGGGCGTCGTCTGGTACTTCCAGTCCAGCTCCGTCAGCTGCAGATACCCCGCCAGTGCGGGCACATCCGATATCTCCGTCTCGTCGCCGCCAGCCTCCAGCAGCAGCACCGTCCAGTTGCGCACCTCGCTCAGGCGATTGGCCACCACAGCGCCCGCCGAGCCGCCGCCAATCACAACGAAATCATACTGACGTCGGATCTGGGGAGAAGCACGGGGAAAAGCGATTATGGAGGAGCCACGAATGGTTGCTGAATGTGCAAAGTACTCACGACAGATGGCTCCTGGACCTTGTTCTCGGGATCGACGCTTTGATAGCGATAGAAATTCATGCCGATCGCCAGCAGCGGTATCATGCCAAGCAAAGATGTCATTGTGCCAAACGCCATGTTTCAGTAATTGTCAAATCCACGGATCCTCCTGGCAGTGTTTGCCTGTCGAAGTGGCACCCGTGCCCGCTCCCGAAACACTCGATCGTCGCCCACTCGTGGCCAATGCCGCTGAGCAAATGGAGCTGGTGGTTGTGGCTGTGGCGCTGGCACTGGCACTGGCCGTGTCACTGCCGCTGGCCAATATCTTTGGCGTGTAATTCCTTATGCCGCCGGGGCGGGCCGACTTGAAGTGCGCACGCGCCCGTTCGTCCTCCTCCAAGATGTCCAGATACGACTTGATGTAGAGGTGGTGGCTCAGGTAGTGCTTCTGCTTGTCCAGCGACCGATGGGACTTGCTGGAGGACACCAGGGAGCTGCTGCGGCTGCAGCTGCTGCTGCTGCTGCTCAACGCCGACAGCGAGGACACGGAGGAGCAGTGGCAGGACGAGTTGTATATGCCGCTGTCCGAGCTCTGGGAGCAGCTCCGCTGCAGATACTGGCTGTTGAGTTTCGCGTAGTTGGAGTCCGTGTCCGATTGGCTGGCTGGCTGGAGGATCTTCGTACGCTCGTAGCTCTGTTTGCTCGAATCGTACTTGTGCCGGAGACGATAGTTTTGGCTGTTGTTGGAATCAGTATTGGTGTTGCTGTTGGAGTTGGACGACAGTTGGCTGCTGGCTGTATAAATGGGCTGCTGTTTGCTCTCTTGGTTGTTGCTGTAGAAACTCTTCCTTGCTGGCTGCGGCAGTGGCTGTGGCTGTCGTTGGTGTTGTGGTTGTTGGTGTGGTTGTTGTTGTTGTTGTTGATTTGCTTGTTGGGATATCTCCTGGCCCATATTTTGACCGAAATATGAACACAGCTGCAAAATACAAAAACAAATTGTTGAAATTAGAGCAGTAAACTTTGGTGTATCTATTGTTGAAATCTATGCGGCATATCCATTGCAATCCACCAACGCGAGACCTACTCGAGTTGATTATTTGCCGCTTCAAAAATTGAGCAAGCTTCAAGTGAGACTTTGCGGGCGTGGGAGCCACCAGCCCGCTATCATTTGCCATACACAGCGAGGGTAATAATTGATGAGCATTGTTGAATGTTTTCTCAGTGTGTTGTTGTTGTTGTTGTTGTTGTTGTTGTTGGTACCCATGTTGCATGGGAGCATGAGACGACATGCGAGCGGCTTTCTAGCGGAAGCCGCCAAAGTGGGGAGCAGCCTTTGGCAATCGTTAGCCAATAGATGGCGCACAAAAGACTTAGGCAACGAACTTGTTTTCATTTTTTTCGCAGCAGCAGCAAACAAAAGTTATCAAATCGAATCCCAAATCCGAAATCCCAAATACCCATGTATAAATATTCAAATGATGTCAGCTGCATCTCATTAAACCGACACGATGCTCTCCCCCCTCCATCTCTTCATCTCCTCCTCTGCTGTCCTCTCTTTTGTGGCATCTTGCATGTGTTCCTCTCGTTTCTGTCTTTCTTTTGGCGTCTGCGCCTTTTTCCTAGCGAGTTTTTCAAGTTCAATGCCGTTGGCCAGGCGGAAAACAAAAAAAAAAAAAAAGCAGCTCAAAAGTCTCTCTCTCTCTCTCTCTCAGTCTTGGCCACAGTCAGTGTCTCAGTCTCAGTCACAGTCGACGTCGCTGTTGATATTATTTTAAAATGCAATTTCGTTATTTCGTTCGTCGGCATTAATTGCTGCCCGTTGTCCAGCTTCAACTTGGTTGGAGCTCCTGTTGCCATTTGCTGTTTCTGTGGTTTTTCCAGTCCACCTCTGCCTCTCTGTCTCTCTGTCTTTTCGATTGCAGTGAAAGCCGTGTCCGTACAGCGCCAAGCGACATCAACAGCCACGATCGAGCTGAATCGAGCTGGATCCGAGCTTCCTACACAAACCAAACATACTCGTCCGTTCGTGCATGCAATCCTCTGTTGAGTTTCAAGTGTATTTGGGATACCCTTTCGGGTGGTTCATCGGTTGGAAGCAACTCCAATGGAACAAGCATAAAACGTCATGCACATGACATGCATTTTGTTGCTGCATTCACAAGCATTCTCTTTGCCCTTTTCGCTTGTGCGTCTCACAAAAAATAGTTGAATAAACATTTGCAGATATGCAAGAGCCCGCTTATGGAATGATTTTAAATGTTCCAATTAAGTCTGAGATTTATTTCTGGTTTCTATGGCTATTTCTGGGCACCGCTCTGCCACTCTGTCACGGCACTCACATAGCAAAAAATATAATTTAAGGACGGAGCGAACTGCGATTAATTAACCGAAAATTGTTGACTATATTTAGCCGCATAAATTGCTGCTAATTAAACTGTGTGTGAATGCTGCCCGTTTTTTGTACAAAATCCACACACTCGTGTGTGTGTGTGTGTGTTGATGTTTGCGCGGAAATTTCGCTGAGCAAATAAAAGCGAAAAGAAAAAGAAGCGATTTGAACGGCTCGGCGGTTGGCATGTAACTGAGCCAACGCCAAACATCATCATCAGCGGCAGCGGCAGCGGCAGCGGCAGAAGTCGTTTTGGCTAAAATTAAATCAAAACTCATTCACACAAAATACCCGTTTCAGGCGGACAGACGCAACAGATGCGTGCAACAGTCAGCAGTCAGCAGTCGGCAGTCGGCAGTCGGCAGACGCAGCTAATTTATGCAACGCCCTTGGGGCGTCCACCCAAATTTGTCTGGCTTCAACACTGCTTGAGCAATGTAGACCAGGCCCCCGGATTGCTGCAATCCACCAGCAAACATTGGAAGGTGGCTGCAGTTGCCGAATGATGATTTCAATGCCCAAAACTAAAGCTGACACATGCCATTGACATGTTCCCAAACTGGGGGCATAGAATCTCATCTCATAATTGTCATCAAATACCCATCTTTACATCACATTGATGTCTGCTGCTGCTCTCGCTCCCTGTTGGCTCTTTCTCAGCGTTGAATTATTATGCAATTCACACATTGTTCGGAACTGGTCTCGGTCTCGTTTACGGTCTGCTTAAGACCGTCCAGCTGTCAGTCAATTATGATTCGACAGCTTTTAATTATGGGCCACAGTTTATGCAGCATAATTGATGACATTAACGGGCAGCTTTTTGTTTACTTTTGTGGCCCTAGACACAGGTCGGGTCGATCCCGGTCGATCCCTGCGCTACCTCCGGTTACAGTCAACGCTTTCTCGACATGCGGCTGCGTCATGCTACCGTGACACATTAAAGAAGCTCAACCAACTCTCAGACCTTACACGAACACACGCAGACACTTGGCTGGCTCTTGTCGCATTTCCGTGGCGTGTGCGTTGCACTTTATGGCCATGTTTATGCCACACATTGGCTACGAATTGGGTTTGGGTTTGGCTTTGGGCTCTCATTCATAAGTATTGCGTAGACTTTCATTCTTATTTCTAGAATTTCTGCTAGCAATAAATAAATTTAATTCGATGCAAGTAGCAGAATTTTATATTGCCAAAACTCTTCCCTCACCTCTTGCATAATAGAATTCTTTCTAAAATATTTACCTCGTGAACCCTATAACAATTTCCCATAGCGCATTCCCAGTTCGTTGTGGCTGAGGGACTCATCTTTGTGTATTTTGTTATGGTCCCCAACGCTTTCTGGCGGCGTTTTTTAATTGTTTTATGTATATGCAGTGCCAGTGCCAGTGCCAGTGGCAGTGGCAGTGGCAGCCAACACGAGCTCCATGATTGCCTCTTTATGGCCGCGACGTGCACAAATTGATAATAATTCGCACAGAGGTGTGAGGCGGCTTGGCTACCGACTGCTCAATGGTAGAAAGTGTGAATACTCCACATGAACAGCCACAAGTCCAAGCCGAAGTCCGCAGTGTCGAGGCGTGCCTGGGAGGAGTCTTGCATAAGAATGTCACTTCTTAGCTGCCCTTCCCACTCTGTCCTTTGCCCACACTCTCGCTCTCCCTCTCTCTCTCTCTACCCCGCTCAGTCCGAAATTCGGACTTGATTACATCAGCAAAAAAACCACAAGAAAAAAAGTGAAAATGATCGCTGTAATAAGTACAGTCGAACTTCCTTAACTTGAACCATCTTCAGCTGCGCAAAAGGAAACAAAAGAGCAGCCGCCACCCATGGCATTTATATGCTGCTGATCGGTGTCGAATTTGTGGCAATTTCTTCCAGAAAATTCCACAAATTTTGCAAGTGGATGCCAGGGAATGTCCTCAGGGTTTTGGTACTTGAGGAGGCTGCTGAATCCTACGAACTGTCCGCTTAGGAGAGCTTTTTGAGTGATGTTTTCATACAGTGAATCGATGCTGTGCATCTGTTATTATTATAATTGTAATGGCATTTATTTAGCACATTTTTAACCCAATATTTGTACCCATTTTTGGATGCACTTGCCTCAGTTTTTTGTGGTTTTTGGTTGCAGCGGTCGCCCGTCTCTGTTGTTGTTTTCTGTGTTGCGTTTCTCGTTGCGTTTGTCCGTGCGGCATCAAGTCGAAGTCGAAGTGGAAGTGGAAGTCGTACCCCACGGCTGGCCACTTTCCTTTGTCTCACACACGAGCACCATGACGACTGCTCTCTTTCATGGCAGAAACAGAAACAAAAATGGTAACAAACAAATAAAAACAAACAACAACAAAAAAGACACCAAAAGCCCTAGATCGGAGTACAAAGTTCGTTTCGATTTGGTTTGGATTTAGCAGCACAGTAATCTCGAAAGTTTATTTGGCATTTGTGGCTTTTATTTTATGTAATTTGATCGCGAATTGAATTGAATTGAATTGAATGATCGCTGAATAAGAAAAAACACACTCCACGCTGCCTGCGATACGCACGCCACGAGCTCGTCTTGTTCAATGAGCAACTTGGACAGGCGGCCGCTTTTTTTCGGCTTACGGCTTTCGGCCTTCGAAAGCTTTCCGCACAAAATGCAGCAACAACAACCACACGGAGCAGGCGGCGAACAGCAAACACGAAAAGAAAGCTGCCTGCGCGTGCCGAAGCTTTGGATACCCTAGCAGCTACAACGATCAACTTTGAATGAGTTTTATTACACTCCGGAACAACAATTTTCTTCAACTAAACTTGTCCCTCGGCCAGCATGTGCTTGTTTAATCTAGTAATTACATTTTGTATTATTTTGCATATTGTTGGATCTCGCTTGAACTTCGTTTGCTGCCAAAACGCATCTACCCTCTGCTGTTGGAAGAGCATGGCAGGCGGAGAGCAGCTTCAAATGCCGCTGGCATGACCAACCAAGACAGTGCCCCGCGCCCCCCCCCCCTGCACTTTCGTTTTCGTTTTCATTTCCATTTCGTTTGTCTTCGGCCGCATCATCGGGCTGGCTGGGCTGTCTTCGTCTCTTTGTGTGTTTGCTACGTGCGCGGCTCAACGCGAGTGGATGGTAAGGGGAACGGCTTTAAGCTGCGCCAAAAGCTCTGCGGCTGCTCTGATGGCGCTGGCGCTGGCGCTGGATCAATGGTGTAATAGCAGAGCAGAAAAGAGCGACAGTTGGAGATTGGAAAGAGAAACAGGCCTGGAGGCTTGCTTTGGCTAAGCCAAAAAACCGAATCTGATCATCCAAATGATCGATCGATCGATCGTTGGCCAACGATCAACGCTTTACAAGTCTGGCAATCAATTTACTGTTTTATTATTCACAATTCTCCGATTCATTCACCGATGCAAGCGTTTAACGAGGCCGCAAAGGTTGCCGCAGAGCAGAGTAGCCCCATTTTGGCATGCGATTTCCGGTGTTGCCTGTTTCGTACTCCATTGAATATTCGTTTAGGTTTCTTCAAGCCTTTCTCATTATTTTTATATATATTTTTTGCTCGTATTTGGAAATATTTTTACTCGCAAAATCAGTGAGAAATTCTTACCTTCTGTTGCTTCTGGCACTCACTCTGCTCTCGAATTTCCAGTGAGTGCCACTCCACTCCACACCGCTCTTCACAGATCATTCGTTTATTCATTCATTTATTCATTAGCCGAGCCAAAGAGTTGAACTGCTCTGTGAACTCTGCGCACATTATCAGGTGCAGTCACAGTGGCCCGCCATTGAGGAGCTCCCTCGAAAAAAAAAAACCAAAATAAATGTGGCATTGGGAGGGGGGCACAGGGGGGGGGGGGTCTGTTGGTGGGGCCTGTGGGGTCTGAAGTTTTCTCCCAACAAAGCCACAAGCTGGTTCCGCTGTGCTCGTATTTACTTATCTATTTATTTTGTGCCCGTACTCGCAGTCGTACATTTCTTTTGCCGGCTTCCGACAACCAGGCCAAGAGTTGGGCACCCAAAAGCAGAGCTTGACACTGCCTCGGGGGGTCTTTCAGGTGGGTGCGGACCGAAATGGAGACTGAGACTGAGACTGAGACTGAGCCTTGGAACTGGGAGAAGCCCCCAACGACGTGGGCAACTTTCATTTTCGTTCAGATGGCCGCGAAAATTGGTGTGTTTTTTTGTATTTTGGACGGTCATTGCGCCTTGTCTGGGAGCCATGGCATATAAATATTTATGTGTTGCACTTGAGAGCGCGCTGGAATGGGAATCTATCTGGACAGCCTTTGGAGGCCGCTCAGATTTATGGGCAGTTTCCGCGACCCAACATCCAGCTGCAGCTCCAGCTCCAAGCCATGGCCGCAGTCTTAATCGAGTAATTAGCTGAGGCTCGGCGTTGGTGGCTTCTTGTAATGCATTTTGTTAACAAAATATTGGTGGACGCACAGCAAAATGAATTATTCAATGCGCATCCGATTCGATGGGCGAAATTAATTAAAATGGTATTTCCAGCTGGAAAGTATTTACGAGCCATTCCATCTACGCACGGTTAACTGCTTCGAACCCATCGCTCATGTACGAATCAGAAGCAATCGGCGGCAGAGAGCAGCGTCTAATTGTGAACATTGTAATTGGCATTTCGGATCGGATTATGCATTATGGCACTGGCATTGGCTGCAACGCATTTGAGCGCGTCTAATTGCAACTATCCTGCTCGCAGATTAACTTAACTTAACTTCTCCGCACTGGACACAATGAGGAACTCTCTAATTATGTTCAAACATATTGCATAACGTTTAATTGAGGCGAGTAATGGCTGGGAAATGCGAGTAAACGAACCAAAATGGTTGAACATTTTTCAGCCAGGAAAAGGGAATGCTTTGGTCACAGAAGATTCTGCTCACAGATATTTCGACTATGATATTTTGTGCCCATTTTCTTCTGGCAGTTTTACACAAGATTTGAGTCTATCTGCATTCCATCAAAGCTTATGGCCACCTCAGCCAACAATTGGAACTTGTTTTGCCTTTTTTTGCATCTTTTTCAAAGTCTTAAAGTCACTAGAGGTGTGATTCTCTTTGTGGTTGCCTTTGCATAAGTTGATTCCGCGTTGTCAGCTATCGAATAATTGTTACCAATTTTCCATTTGATTGATTCGAGTCTGATGTCAAGCCAAGCTTAAGCTGCGTTTCTTTTGGCTGGTAACAAGCTTTCACAGTTGCTTTCAACCAGTCAGCTTTAAGCTCACAATTTTAATACTTACCGCTTTCGCATTTCGTTTGCTTACTAATGTTTTTTCTCTTTTCTTTTGTTTGCAGGTAAGCTTTTTTCCGAGTCGAAACTACTATTTGGTGGCTGCAAGATCTGCCAACTGCTGAAACATTGATCGTGATCATAAATAAGCTGTAAGTTTATTTCGAGTTCCATGTGCTGGCGGGGTTTAAACTTGCACGGAAATATGAACAGATTTTAAGCTGCTCCACCACCAGTGGCTTTTAGGCTGCCAGTGTTTGCACAGTTTCTGAAAAACTGTGGACTGCTTTGACTGCTAGAAACGTACAAAAGAATTAATATCTTATGTGGCTATTGGGAATTTATATCCCATATTATTCCAGTGCTGAGTATTTGAGTAAAATCTTTAAATCGGAATGGATTTTACTTTTTCCTTCTAAAAAATCATTAGCCTGTTCTCCAACCCCAACGTTGCGAGCCGCTTAGTCTGTCTTACAACCGCTAGTGGCTTCACAAACCTTTGGAACTGAAACTCTACAAAACTGTGAAGTGGCTGCCAAACCATAATGAAATGTAAACCCTCCGCATTTTGTCCATTTTCGATATCAATTTATTGTTGTTTTTGTGTGTGTTTGCTGTCTATCTATCGTATGCTACTTCTACGCTGAAACTTAAACAACTAATTGAGGTACTCCCAAACAAAATTAAATGCTAAAAGTAAAAACAATACAAAAAAAACGAATTATACATATATGTAACGTACAGTATTAGACACACACGAGACGCAGCAACAAACAAAAAAAAATAAGGAAAAATTAGCATAAATGACTCGATATTTACATGAAGCGTTTAACTAAGACTACGTTGGGTGGAGGAGGGGTACAGGGGTACAGGGGGGATGAGGATTGAGTGGATAAACTAAAGCTTAATAAATTAAATTTATTCAACAATGCGGACATTTGTGCTAAACTAAAGGCTAAGGCAACGCGACCCCTCGCTCGCTCCCATCTTTTGATCTTTTGAGTCCCTCAACCCCAGACACCAACCCGCCCCGCTCCGCCCCTGCCCCCGCATGACTCTACGAGCTACAGCTACGAGCTGGTGGGCAATGGCCATTGCTGCAGCGCCTCCACTTGCCCATCGTCGTCTGTGGTGGTGGCATTTCCCATTCGCAGCTCCCGCTTGCCTCGCCACAGAGGCGACCCCCTGTTGCCCAGACCCTGACCCTGACCCTGGCCCTGCCCGTCCCGTGGCGAGGGACCAGAGCTGGGCGTCAGCCAGAGCTGCTTGATGAGATCGGCTCCCTTCTCGCCAATCATCACGACGGGCGCATGAATGTTGCCATTGGTGATGGCTGGCATGATGCTGGCATCGATCACCCGCAGGCCGGGTACGCCGTAGACCCTCAGCTGGGGATCCACCACGGCCCAGGGATCGCTGGGCGGACCCATCTTGGCCGTGCCGCTCATGTGGTAAATGGTCATCGTGTACTGCCTGATGTAGCAGTTCCAGTAGTCATCGGTGAAGAGCGTCAGGTGCTTGCAGTTGGGCAGCGGCTTGTTCCAGAAGCGGGCGCCAAAGCGCTTCATGGCCTCCGTTTCGCCCATGGCGACGGCGGCCTTGACGCCCTCGCGCAGCACATTCACATCGTCCGGATGGGTGAGGTAGTTGTGGTAGAGCAGGGGATAGCGCAGCGGGTTCTTGGAGGCCAGCTTGATGAAGCCGCGGCTCTTGGGGCGCAGCATCATGGGGAAGATGCCGAAGACGTCCCGATTGTTGACCTCCCCGAAGACCTCCTGGTAGAACTCGTCGGTCAGCCCGTGGGCAGTCTTCACCTGCGATCCGCCGTCGGACATCACCGAGGCGGAGGTCATCATGAAGTTCATGTCCGGCCAATCATCGCTGGCATTGGCGTACTTCGTGTTGATAAAGGCCACCGCCTCGAGGCCAATGCTCGAGGTGAGCGGCCCGTCCTCGGTGATGGCATAGCGCAGGGCCGTGTTGATGTTCACCATTCGCTTCATCACTATCGAGATGGGATAGTCGATGAGGAAGGCAATGCCGCCCACGGCGATGTGATCCTGCAGGTTCTGCCCCACGCCCGGCAGATGCTGCACCAGCGGAATGCCGAAGCGATTCAGCTCCTCCCCGTGCCCGATGCCCGAGAGCATCAGCAGGTGCGGCGAACTGATGGCACCCGCCGACAGGATCACCTCCCGCGTGGCATAAACATTCTGCAGCCGTCCATCCCGGATGAACTGCACCCCCGTGGCCCGCTTGCTGGTCGGGTCGGTCAGCACCTTGGTCACGTGCGAGAAGAGCGCCACGTGGAGGTTGCTGCGCAGCCGGATCGGACGCAGAAAGGACTTGGCCGTGGAGCTGCGTGAGCCGCGGCGCATGTTGAACTGATAGAAGCCGAAGCCCGTCTGCTGCTCCCCATTCACGTCGACAATGTCGTAGCCCATCTCCTCGCCGGCCTGCAGAAAGGCGGGACCCAGCGGCGTGTTGTACGGCGAGTCCTGCACAGTCCAGGGGCCACCTATAAGGACACAAAGTTAGTTCCGGGAATTGCTCGTTAAGCATTTATTGTGTACCTTGTCCGTGGTAGCGCTTGTTCCTGGCCAAGTACGGATTACGCTGATCCTCGGACTTGCGGAAGTACGGCAGAATCTCCTCGTAGGACCAGCCTGGATTGCCGAACGCCGCCCACTGGTCAAAGTCCCGCCGATTGCCGCGTATGTAGAGCATTGTGTTGAGCACCGAACTGCCGCCCAGCACCTTGCCGCGCGTCCAGCAGCAGCGATGATCCTTCATGGCCTGGCAGGCAGTGGCCTGCGGCTGGGTGCTACAACAAACAAAAAAAAACAGAAAGAAATCAGAAATGTAGAAAGCTACAAAAAATGCAACAACAATTAAATTAAACAAAGCCCAAGCCCCAGTGGCCAGCCAGCATACTTGCGACACCCGTCTGGTGTGGAGGGAATGGGTGGGCAGGGGAGTGGCAAGTGTTAAGCGAGCAAAAATTGAACGCGGCAATGAACCGAACTTGGCCTCCCCCTCGCATCTTTTGGCATTTAGTTTTAAGTGCCTGCCCGGTGGGGGGCCTTGAAGCGGCGGAATAGCTGGCAGCAGCAGCAGCTAAAAATTATAAAAATTGATCAAAACGCCACCTCGAAAAGTTAAAGAAATTCAAACTAAAGCTGCCAATTATTAGCTAAATTCTTTGCCTCCCATAAATCTCTCGATTGCGTGTGTGGGTGTGTGTGCAGCCACTGCAAGCGCTAACAAATTGGCAAACAAAACGTTTCGCTCCCGTTTCGCTCCAGTTTCGCACACCGTTTCGCTCCCGTTTCCCTCCCGTTTTCAATTCCACTTTTGGTTTCCTCAAGCGCACTCGCCCGATTGATCCCACGGCATGAGCTAAACATATAGGAAGACTTTTTTGCTTGTTGTGGCTGCCAAATAAAGATACAAATTACAGGCAAGCAGGCACCAATCAACAATTAACATGACAAAACAAACGGAAATTAAATGTCAGTTGGCGGCAAAAAGCCCCAACGAATTGATGTGGAGAAAAGTGTGTCCAAAGAGAGTCACAGAGTGAGAGAGAGAGAGAGAGAGAGAGTCTTGGCATTTTCCATCTTCCATTGATTCACACCTGCCAACGGGGCTGGCGGGGTTGGAGTTGCAGGTTGTCGGCCTGCGGGTTGAGGGTGAGTGTAATTAGCATATGACATGCATCGTGTCCATCTGTTTGCTCTGTGATTTATGCTGTATCAGCTTTGAGATATTTCCTATTTGCCTTAAGCCAAGACACAGACACAGACACAGACCCAGGCCCAGGCCGAGGCCTGCGGGTCCGAGCATTAATATCAATTCGCGGCAGTGGCGCCGAGCCACGGACCCAGCTGAGCCACATTGTTCGGCATACTAGCTTATTGACGTGCTACGTGCCTCAAAAGAAAAGCGAAGAGAAAACAATGGGAAAGAAAAACCCACAACGGCGAGCAGTCAAGTTTATGGACACCCTTTAGCGTTGATTGGGAATTTATTTATAATTTCTCATCGAAGGATTCATGGGCAAACATCTGCTGCTAGCCACTTTACCCTCTGCACTCGCTTTCAAACAAATTGAGGCAAAAACTATGAAAAACTTTCGCCTCAACTGACGCAATTTGTTGCCTAGTTTTTGTTGTATTTGTGTTGTTTCGCCTTTTATTAGCCATTTAACAGTTAACTCACATAAACGTAACAAATTATTATTAGCTCATTTCGCTGCTTTGCTTACAACTGTGATTTTGTTTCTCCACGGTTGGTGTTGGTGGGAGGGAAATTAATGGAAGGCAGAAAAGTGAAGCTTAATCAAAAATCACATTTTGAATTTATAGATAGGTCTGATACACTCTTTGCAATTGAAAGAAAGGGTTCTTTGACCCATATAATTATTATAATTATACCTTAGCATTTTTATGGCACAAAGTTGTTTTTATTTTGCACTTCTTGATCGTTTCTGTGGGGCTTAAAGCTATGAAAGGATTGGCAAGAATTTTCTAGTGGCAATAAAGAACTGGTTCAGAAATGACCTTACGAATTTTAAATACGAATCAAAGTAAAAACTATGCATTCATAGATCAAGTCCGCACTGCATAGTACCCACAATGTAAAGTCACAAAATGAAATATGTTTTTCCCGAGAATGCATTAGGGGCATTCGCTCACTCACTTTGGCAGGCAGCATAATTGCATAGCTTGTGAAATGCATATGAATACCCAAAATTAGAGTTGATTGCATTGTTTTTCGTAATTGTTTAATGCTCGTTAGCCGAATGTTGGTTAAGGCCTCACCACGAGGCGAGGCGAGGCGAGGCTGTGCGGCACTGTGGAATAATGCGCTCGCATGGAACAACTGCTGATTGCCATATAAAATCACTTAACGGCCGCATTAAGCTGTAAACGGCACCAGTCAAACGAAATGAAACGTTTTATTAATGGGAAATACTATTTCGATTGTGCCAAATAAATGATGGCTTAAATTCATACTCGCATATCGCAAGCTGAGTGGCAATCAAAAGGCTAAAAAGGTATTCAAATGCGTGAGGCAACAACGATTATTTCGTGGCTGCATTTGAACATTTTGCAATGTGTGCGAAAAGGTCAAAGAAGCGCGCCAAGGGTGATGAAACTTTTGCAAGAATATTTGAGAGTTCGAATAAAGGAATAATTAGCGGAATCTTATGAAGGATGAGTGATACTTTTGATTGAGTGAAACAAAATAGTTTAAAATGTGTTTAAATGAGTTTTCATCTTCCTGGTGAGAATTGTTAAATATAATGCTTGGTTCTCTCATAGAAAGCAACTTATCTGGCAGCCTTTTAGGCACATGATCTAAATCCAATTGATATTGATCAATATGCACCACACCATCGCTGTTTCATATAATTTGAATCAATCGTTTGAATTAAACACGCAAAAGTTTAGTTGTTTAGTTTTGATTTCCAATACATTTGGGCTTAACTTTTTGTTTCCTTCTCCCGTCGCTTACATCCCTATGAATATGTCATAATTGTTCACACATATTTCGCGGGTGTTAATTCAATTAACAGCACTTAAAAGGCTCGTACTTGGTTCGTGTTACATTTATATTAAGTCTCCGATTGAGTCAAATACTATTGCAGCATTTCCATTTGCGGATTATTGTTATTATTATTTTGTTGGGGAACTCCACGAAAAGTTTTGTATTTTGTTTATTACTCCGTTGACAAATATATAGCGGCGATGGCGATGGCACTGGTCAGTGATGCCTGTCGCCGAACCGGCTCACGTATCACGCATTGAGCTTTCGATTGGCAACAGCTGGAGGAGTACGGAGCACGACCAGTATTCAGGTGCAATTGCAAAGTATCTGAGCTTCGTTTCATTTCAATTCGTTTCGTGCCATTTCCATGGCGGCAAACCTGTAACCGCTTAACCCACTTTAGAGCATCGGACAAGCCGGTTTGTCCAGCCAGCCAGTCGGGCAGCTTCGAGTGCTATTGGTGTTGGGAAATTGGATTGAATTGGCGTAGGATATCCCCCGGACAGACATCCGCCTGCAGCTGGAATTCGAAAACGAACTAACGTACGTCATACCGGCGTACATTTATGTGTATGAGTGTTTTTTTTTTTTTGGCATTAACGAACACTGCCGATGACATTAATAGGTGTTGGCCGCTCCACCGGGGTTGCATAATCTTCCAGAAAGCGGAATTTCTGCTGCTGCTGCATTTTGGGCGGAGGTTAACGAGCCTCCAGCTACGACTCCAACTCCAACTCTGCCTCCTTCCTCTGTTTGTCTGACTAATCAGCTCTGCGTGTATCAAGTCAATAGTAGAACAAGTAAAATTTAACTGCCGCTGCAGCTATTGTTTGTTTTTTATTGCATATTCGTTATGTTCGGTTATGAAATATTTGTGTCTGAGCAGCAAAGTCATAAAGTTTGATGTGTTTATGCTGAAACTCTTCGGGTTCCAGGCAGTGATTATCGCCCTCCCTCCCATCGTAAGTGCAAATAACTATTTATTGATGGCATTCCGCTCAGTTATGCAATATTTTATGGCACTTCCCTATGGTCCAAGATGTAGTATTAGTGGTTGGAGTATCTATGGAAATATATCCTGACTCTAAATTCATTCGAAACGAACTCCCACAAGTGCTGCCGCTCACTGATCCGACCTTGAACCACACAAATTTGACACTGAACCACCGACAAGTGGCCCATAAATGCAACAGAAAAAGGCAGCAGCAAAAACCACAATACAACATTCAATGAATAAATTGATGACATGAATCAGTGTCTGTGGCTTTCTCAGACAAGAGAAACTTTTCTTTCCTTTGCCCCGATGATTCACAGCGGCACTCGAAACGGGTATCGATCAAGTGAGCGGAATGGAATGGAATGGAGTGGAATGGAGTTGGACTCCAAAGTGAATTTCAATTTTGTTGCAGTTGAATGTGCACCATGCGGAATTTCCCGTTTTCAGTGGCCCCAAATAAAGCGGCTTTACGGACACTCGAAGAAACATTCACGAATACACAGCAAACACTCGAAAATGCAACTGAAATTATGGGCATATTTAGGCTATTTTTTTCTTGAATAATTATTTCGTATATCCAACAATTCTGTTTTATTTTTTTATGACCAAATTCCGCCATGTAAATGTATGGATTTAGCTGAATTTTTGGTAGGGATATCTGCTGCATCGATCGCCCAGCGTCACAGCTGACTGGCCATGGACGAGAGAACCGATGCCGATAGGAGCGATCTACGACAAGCCACAGAAACTGCCAGTGTCCCAGTCCCAGTCCCAGATCAGGCCACCCCGAATGTGATGCAACGATTCAGAAATACACTCGATTATTGCCCCACACGGGCTGCTCGTTCGCTCGCTCGCTCGTTCGGTGCACTTACAAATTTGTGGCTGTTTCAGTTTCTGTTTCTGTTTCAGCTTCTGTTTCCATTCCATTTTTCGCGCGATTGCAGTAAATTACGCAAAGTGAATTGGAATGGCATGGAATTGGAACGCGAATGATAATGGGAACTGGAATTCTAATGGATGTGGAATTCTGAAAGTGAAATTGCCAGGCAGCAGGGGCATAAAGACGAAGCAGAAGATGAAGCAGAAAAAAGATCGCCGCTAGGCCCCGGACCCAGCCCAAAACCATTAAACAGTTAAATGGATTACGGTATTGGTAACGCTCTGCTCCGACACGCGATAGGGAGATAGAGAGAGAGAGAGAGAGAGACACAGAAAACGAAACAAAAATTCCGAAAATGCCAAAAACTCATGAATAATTGAGGAGCAGCAGGCGGGCAGCCTTAGCAACTGGTCGGTGCCGCTGGGAACATCAGCTGTTCGCTAATGAAGCCACCGAAATGCCGTGAGATAGAAAACTCTTCAAAATCGAAATCGAAACCAAAAAGCTTGGGCTGGGGCTCTTCCTAACGGTAGCCTGTTCTAATTTGAAACAGTCACAATTTTCCATTTATTGTTAACCGAAACCGAACCGAACTGCAACCATATAAAGCCACATTTAATTGCTTGTCGGAAGAGGCACAGCTAGAAAGAAGAGATGAGCAGCGTTGATGCTTGGTGTTTAGATCTAGCTGAGTCTTTTTCTAACTGGAACATTCTGGAGTGGGCAGTGGTAAAAGCGAAAGATCTGAGCCAGTGGGAAGTGGGAACAGAAGCCACAACAGATCTTAATGGAATGTTGTCAAAGAAACACAAGAACACCAGCAAGAAGGGCATTGAATTGCTCACTGAATTTGCAGAAAGAAATACTCACTTGATGAATACTGTATTGAGAATAAAAACTGTGAGTTATAAGCTGGGAATATTGAATGAAAGTTTGGGTGTAAGCAGCCGAATATTTAGCAAACATTTGAGATCAAAAATATGCTAAACTCTGGAACATAATACTAGTTTGGATGGATGAAAGAATAGGTTGAGTGAGGAACTGAATTCTTTCATGGCACTCAGCACTAAGTATTCCATATCCCATATCCGCTGCCTCTTGTTGTAAATGATGTTTGAAATAATCTCCAATTAGTGACTCAAGTTGTGTTTACGTTTTCCCTTTCATTTGCCAAGTGCCGAAATCGTTTGCTATTTGCGTGTGAAAAATGAGTAAATTTTAAGTTTGAAATTTGAAATTTGAAATTTGTCCGTCAGTTGCTAACTAAACGAATCTTCGGCCTTTTGCCATCGAGTGCTGGCCTCTGCCTTGACGACTCCACGTGTCGCCAAGCCAAATGCAAATGATGGTGAGGGAGATGGCAATTTGCATTAGCTGCGGACTAGAATGTGTCATTGAGTGGGTTCGGTCCCAAGAGGTTAGCCCAAGGGGTGCAAACAAAAGCGGAAATAGACACACACAAAAGTGACAAACTGGGCCACTGCTAAGGCCAAGTGGCTAACCCATTTTGACCCGGCCTGGAGGCCGCTGTGCTCACTCACCGATACTTCCAGTCCATTTTGCTTTTGTGCAAATAGAGCGAGAGGAGCGGCACATCGGAGATGTCCGTCTCGTGTCCGCCGGCCTCCAGCAGCAGGATCTTCCAGTGGCTAATCTCGGAGAGTCGCGACGCCAGCACAGTGCCCGCCGAGCCGCCGCCAATGATGATGAAATCGTACGCCTGGTCCACCTGCGGCACATTGAAGGGCCGGTTCTCCGGATCGAACAGATCGTAGTTGTAGTACGCAATGGCCGCTATCAGGAAGGGCAGAATGGTGAGCCTGCCCACGCCCACGACGGCGGTGGCCAGCTTGATGGCGCCGGCAATGGCCAGCCCCAGCGAGGAGGCACCCACGGCAGCCGCTCCCGCCGAGGCAGCGCTGCTGGCCTTGAACAGGAGCCCGCCCACGGACAGGACAGCGGGCACAACAACCATTCTGGGTGTGTGGTTGGGATTTGGATTGCCGCGGGGGGTTTACTCGAACTTTTTTTTGGCTCTGTACTTTTGCAGTCAACACGGGTTTAGCCGCACAAGAATTAATCGAAAGCCTGGCACACTTTCGTTCGCTCGTCACGATCACGTTGACAGTGTGGCAGTGGCAGTGGCAGTGGCAGTGTGGCAGCTATTGGCGGCACTTTCATTCGGGCACACACATTGAGGCAAGAAAACACCAAAACAAAAACAAAACGAAAATCGAAAACCGCACTCACTAAACACTAAATTCAACAGAAACAAAAATAAATATCAATTGTAATAGAAATTGTTGTGGCTCTTTTGTTGGTTTGTTTCTTTCTTCTTTATTTTTTTTTGGGCCGCGCGTCGCTCTTCGTTTCGTTTAGGCCATCCGGCTCGTCTGGCTGTCGCTGCTCTTCTGAGCCACAAAAGCAACTCGTGTGCGACGTTTTGTCTTTGCTGCTTTTGGGAGGGCCGGTCCGTGCGGAACGGCGAGGGGGTGGACTGGCGCTTTGCAAGCTTTCTTGCTGCAAGGCAGCAGCAGCAGCAGCAGCAGCAGCAGCAGCGATGCCAGCGTCGTACAATCAGTTGCGCATGTGCAGCAGCAGCAGCAGCAGCAGACGTCGTCGCAGCTTTGGTCTCAGCCATGCGTTTCCCCGTTTACTTTGGCTGTGGTTGACGCTGCCGTTGCTATTGGAAGCTCCTTTTGCGCTGCTTCTGTTGCGGTTGCGGTTGCGACGTCGACAGTGACGCCAACTGCGGCGGTTGAGAGCGTGTGCGCCCTCCTCTCGCTCTCTCTCTCTCTCTCTTTATGTCGGGGCCTCCTTGTGCTGCTGCTGGCTTTGGCATTGCAAAACGCTTACCATTTTTGGCCAATGGCGCTCCTGCCTGGCCTCTGCCCTCGCCCCTTTCCCCACTCTTTGCATTTGCTGCCTTAGCAGTAACGGAAAACTAGTTATTTATCGCTGGAGTCACTAGTTAATCCGTGCCACTAGAAGCAGTTCTTGCATGCAGCTGGACAAAGGCTGATAATTACAAATAATTACCAATAATAATATAAAAATTTGCTTTAAAATGATTTTAAACATGCAAATTTTCAATATTTATATTCCGCATAATCTTTGGGTGGCTTCTGGCTACGCTTTAAACAAATGTCAAGAGTAAATCAGCTGCCATCCTGTACGTGTACACGTGTCCTGCTTGGATAATCCTCAGGCACCTGCATCTTATTTGATGGCCTCCTGCTGTGCTCTATGTCATATGACAAATTTCCACGCTTAAGCATGACATGTGCTCTGCCGGCGGCTCTGCTTGAGGGCCTGGCTCTGGCTTCCTGCAAAAGCTTCGACGTATCTGTCTTCCTTCTCTTGCTGCTGCACTCGCTGTTTGGTCTCCTGCTGGGTGCTAAAGCCTCACTGGGATCCCACTTGGATAACGCAATCTCTCTCCCTCTGCTGCTGCTGACAGCTGCGCTGATGGAACGTTCCGTTACAAAACAATAACCGATTGAAGCGCTCTCCCGCTCTCTCCCTCTCTGAGGTTCGCCCGATTCCTTTGCTTGCGGTGGCCGTGTGTTGCGAAACGGTTACGTGCTGCTGCTGGTGGTGGTGGCTCCTGCCTCGCTCTGGCATTTGCGGTTTTCACGTGCGCCTCTTCTCCTCTTCCTCCTCTTCTTTGCTGCTGCTGCTGCCTTACTTCACAGACGACGGACGACCTTCATGCTCGCTTGACAGTTATGTGCGCTGCGCTCTGCTCTCCAGCACCCCCTCTGCACCCCCTCCCCCGCTGCGTAGTTGTCTTTGCTCACGTAAGCCACCTGACACGAGCAGACAGAGAAGAGAGCGGGAGAGCGGGAGAGCGGCAGAGAGAACCGATATCCACATTGCGTTTGGCATTGAAGAAGTTGAAGAAGAGTTCAATCAAAACGGAGATGCAAGTGAAATTTCTGGCATTACATGCGGATGGATGGCTGAACCGGTTTTTGTGTGGATCCATCGATATGCCCCAACGGATTGCTCGGCAATTGAAAACAACAACAACAACAACAACAAAAACTCCAATAACAGCCATTGTCAGCCACGAGCAATCCAAAATGGAAATTAACCCAAAAAACTTGTTTTTATTTTCGATGCAATTTCGATTTTTAAGTGCTCTAATTGTTCAATCAGTGCCGTTTCCTGCCTGATGCTGTTATAAAGCTTTTCCTTGCAGCACTCAAAATATTCTCAACAAAAAAGCAATCAAATTTTGTAGAGTTTCCATGGAAGTGGAGCACCACGCGTTTTAGGGTTCTTTGTGCTCCCATGATCTGGGCAATGATCTATGGCTGTTGCCGTTGGCAGGTGTCGAACCAATTGGCGACGTTAAACCATTTCGGAACCAGAAAATCAATTTCACAGCAATTCTAATGCCTTTGGCTTGGACTGTGTGGGGTTGGACTCAATCAATTGCTTCGAGTTGGTCCACCGAATGTCTATTGCTGGCTGAAAGGAATGACGAAAGTCGCCCGCAAATTATTCGAGCCATGGATGTGACGATCGTTTGATATATCGCAAGTTCGTTTCTTGCTTTTTTTGCTTCTTCTCATTCGTTGCTTATTGCCGCTAATGGGGCAAGGTCAAGTGAGCCGAGTTTTCCCGTGCGAATGTGCTTGAGGAAACTCCACTGCCCAAGTTGACAATAAAAAGCACAAAATAAACTTGTCAAACTCCACCATGAGTTGTGTGTGTCTCTCTCTGGCTGTAGTTTTTGTTTGTGTTTTGTCTTACCTTGATGGGACACTCTTAGCCCTAGGCGAGGCCCAGTCAAGGGCCAAACTCGTTGATGGATCTTGGGAACTGGAATGCCTTTGATTAGATCTCAAAAGGTTAGTGGTGGCCACTGAAATTCCTGACCAGTTGTCCAGTACTGTTAAGGGAGCATGGTTCAAGGTCGTGTTGGGATGTGTTGGGGGGACAATGCCTTCCTTTCCTCATTCTAAACCATTTTCCCTTTTGCTGCCCAGAGCCAGACCCAAATCCAATCAACAATTTCCGCGCTTAAACACTTGCCGGACTCACAGATGTTGAACAATTTCCGGCACTTAGCTGTGGCATGTGGTAGGCAATATTTCTCTTGTGGCCAGTTGCCTAAGCAGCAAACAATTAAAAGTGAAAATAGTAGAGAGGCGTCCCAGAGATCTACTTATGTACATCCCCGAGGGGGTGACATAACAGCCCCCGTAGCTCCCTCCATGACAGCCACTCCATCGTTTCCTAGTGCTGTGTCATCTGCCCATGCATGATCTTGTCTCTGTGTCTGTGACTGAAACAAAGTGAACTTCATTAAACGACAAATGCACGAAAACGAAGCCTCTGTACCATGTGGAGCAACATCTGTAGCTCAGCTAGCGATGGCCTCGTGTTTGGCTTACCCACTTCCCCAACAGAATCTAACACTGAAGCAGCTCTTTTATGCTGTGAGAGAAGCTGATAAATGGAAAGGAATATCACTCGATGTCTGCATCTTGTGTGGCTGTAGAGCTGCAGAAATGTATCAATGTTTCGGTTAGTTGTGAGTCGTTGAGCTTGTTGTCACGCGCCCATCCCCAATTTCTATCTCCGTTTCGTGTGGCCGACTTTGCCCTACGTGTGTGTCTGCCCATGGAGTACTCACAGTTGTACAGCTGTAGGTTGCCACCGCAGCAGCAGTAGCTGACAGCGGCCGAGTGGCAGAGCATCTTTCATCTAATCACTTGCCTAAACGGCTCCAATTGTGGCTCTCTTTTTGTGCGAGTCATGCCCATTCCACTCCCCTCCCTATCGCCGTGCACAGATCTTGACTGATTTCATTTAATTGGATTCCATTTGCGGCCTGCTACCTGGCTCTGGTCTTGGGTTTGCTTTTGGTCAAGTGCAGGCCTATTACGTGCCGCTTGCTAATTGTTCCGTAATGGTGCGGGGGGTTCCGTCAGGGGAGTGTCGAGCCCTTCACACTGAGCGTAAATATGAATTAAACTATTATCATTTCCTAATTGCAATTTGGAGGCAAATATTTCCCCGTATGAAGCGAAGTTTATGCCCCCACAAGTGCCACAATCCTGCTCCACTCTGTCCTGCCAATGGTGCGCCAGTTGCTCCAGTCATCGCTGTGCGTGCGATATCTTTAATCAATCAGCAAAACAATTCACACTTTCATTACATAATTGCTGAGGTAGCTCCACTTTGGGCCACCACCCACTGGCTGCGACACAGGGGGCCACTTGGCCAACAATTAATTATGATTTGTTTGGCATGCCGCAGGCGCGGCAAAAGTCATTAGATGAACACCGAAAAAGCTGCGGCTCGGCACGCTTCGTGGCGCCTGGAATTGCGCCCATTGTGGGGGCATGGGCAATGGGCAATGGGCAATCGGTAATCAGCTATTTGCCGGACCCCAGTTTGGCTAGCCGAAAATAAAGTACACGGCGAGAGCGTAAAAGTGAAAGCTGTCAATCAAAATGGAACAAGCCGCAAACGAGGCCGGCCATCGGTCAGATTCAATACGTACAAACGGTATGCAATGCTTATTCGCGAATATATTCCACTCGAAGTCGTAGTCCAGATATTGCAGCCTCCGGTTAAGGTTTGGCGAAAGCTGCTGAATGTTGTCTCTGCCCTCGATTGTTTATTCATACATGAAGAGTGCCTTTTGGTTGTGTAGAAGGTTCAGGAAAATCATGCGGCGAACCCACACAGTTTTAGCTGCTCTTTACAGATCAGTGCGAAACCATACCTTCGTTAGTTGTGGCGTTCTGCTAGTTTAAGTACCCATAAATCCGTCGTAAATACAACGCTGCGTATACGCATTCCAGCAGCCAGGAAGCAAACCCATTTCAAAGCCAGGAAATGCACCAACTAACCTTAGTCGAGTTGCAAACCAACACCGTTGGGGTTTGAGCAGCACTGTGCAGAAACCGATCTTAAGGGGGATCGTGTAGGAAGTACCGAAAATGTGTAAAATACATGTAATCTATGTGTAAAATACATGTAAAAATGGTGTTCCATGTCGAGATGCGTGAGTTTTGTGACTTAAAGGCGTGCTGCGTGCTTTTAGGGAGTGCAACGCTCCATTTATACCCTTCCCAGCCACTAATTTGCATTGTTTTCGCGTGTTTTTGCAATCGTTAAACATATATTTAATTATTATTAAGAAGAAAAGATAGAAGAAAAAAAAAACAGAGGCAGAGGCAGAGGCAGATCTATGCTAAGAATATCGTTGAGCTTACAGCTCGGTGTGCTGCAGATAATCCTCCTTGATCATGTCCGCACCCTTCTCGCCGATCATGATGCAGGCAGCGTTCGTGTTGGCGCCCACAATGTCGGGCATGATGCTGGCATCGATGACGCGCAGTCCCTTGGCACCGTGCACCCTGAGGCGGGCATCGACGACGGCGGTGGGATCGCCGGCGGGACCCATTTTGGTGGTGCCCACCGGATGGTAGACGGTTGTGGTCATGTGGCGGATGTAGCAGCGCCAATAGTCGTCCGACTGGTACTGGATATCGTTACAGGCCGCCAGGTCGACCTTGTGCAGCGACGCCTCCCGCTCGCTGAAGGCCTTCGTCTCGGGCAGCCGCTTGTAGATGTTCAGCGCCCGGATGTATGTGTCCACATCGCGCTCATCGGTCATGTAGCCGGGATCGATGAGCGGCGCATCCAGGTAGTTCTTCGACTGCAGCTGCAGCTTGCCCGCGGAGAAGGGCTTCAGGTGCAGCAGGTACGTGATGTACGTGTTGGAATTCTGGTTGGCGGACAGAATGCTCTTCGCGACGCGATCGTTGAAGCCCGTGGCTGCCACATAGCCCTTCAGCTCGGGACTCTGCATCAGGCTGAAGAAGTTCGTTGTCTGTATATCCGGATTGGGCCCCTCCACCGAGGTGGTGTTAATGAAGCCCGTCAGCGCGGTGGCCTCGTGGTGCAGCAGCTTGCTGTAGCGTCCCATCAGCAGGTTGTACATGGCATCCACCAGCTCCTCCTCGGTGGGCTTGCGGGCCGTGGACTTGTCAATCTGGAAGATGACCGGCAAGCTGGCATGATCCTTCAGATTGTGGCCCACGGGCAGGTCCAGCTTGAGTGGAACTCCAACGCTCTTCAGATGATCAGCGGGTCCAATGCCTGTGGAAGGATTGCAGATTAATATTTGAGGGAATTCTCAATGCCTCAACTTCCTCCCCGAGCTGTGAAGATCTTTGGGGAATTTTCTTTGCTTTTTTGTTGGTCATGAATGGCACTTGTCGGCTTCCTCTCGCCTCAAACTTTCCGCTCTGCTAATCTAACCAAAATCGAAGCAAAAAGTGCGAGCTTATCGGCAAAGCAGCCCAACGACCAATCGTTAAACTTTTTTTGCGCTGACCCTGCCAATGTGACTATCAGATGCCATAAACTGTGTGTGCCACGGGCTATCTAATCGGGGGCCAACCTTGAGGCCGCAGCGGGAACTCACCTGAGAGCAGCAGGATCTGCGGCGAGCCGATGGCGCCGGCGCACAGAATGATCTCCTTGCGGGCACGCACCGTGTACTCCTTCTTCTCGCGATGCACGAAGGTGACGCTCTCCGCGCGCTTATCCTTGCCGAGGTTCAGCCGCTTGACGTGCGCGTGCCGCAGGATGTGCAGATTGGGCGTGTCCTTGCGCAGATGGGAGCGCGCGGTGGTGATGCGACGCCCGCCGTCCTGTGTGCCCAGAATGTCCATCTGGCCGACGTAGGAGCCCTCGGTGAAGTCCGGCGCACTGCCGTAGCCCATCTCCTGCATGCCGGCGCGGATGGTGGTGCGGAACTCGTTGTCGGAGACGTAGTTGTTGAGGCCCATGGGTCCGCCGACGCCGTGGTCGCCCGGCGTGTAGCCCGGCCGCGTGGAGCGCAGATCCTCGGCCTTGCGGAAGTGCTCCAGCACCTGGTCGTAGCCCCAGCCGGGATTGCCGCGCGACTCCCAGTCATCGAAGTCGAAGCGTGTGCCGCGCGCATAGATCATGGCGTTCATGCCGTTCGTGCCGCCCAGCATCTTGCCCCGCGGCCAGTGGCAGCTCTCCCCCTGCATGGCCATGCAGGCGCGTCCGTTCGGCTCCGTGTGATACTGCCAGTCCCAGGCGGAGAACTGTGTGGCCATGTGCCAGGCCACGAACTCCGTCTCGATGGGCGGATCGCCGCCCGCCTCCAGCAGCAGAATGCGCCACTTGCTGTGCTCCGCCAGTCGGCCGGCCACCACCGCGCCGGAGCTGCCCGAGCCCACCACAACGAAGTCGTAATCCTGCTCAAAGTCACCGGCCTGCTCCAGCGCGTCGCCCTGGTCCAGCGGCCACTGCTGCTGTCCGCTGAGGTCGCAGTACCTGGAGATCAGCGTGTGGACGAGCAGCGACATCAGCGTATTGGCCGGGCCCGCCGAACGGGCGGCACACTGAGCGCTGAGATACTCCATGTGTCCAAGTTGAAGCTCGAGCTGTTCCTTGAGTATTCCTTGAGTATCGTTAATTGGCACTGGAGAGCGGTACTGGCTCTGGCGTTGCCCGTGCGCGACTGTTTGGCTTGTGCACAGAACGCCCGGAATTTGTACGGACGCGATTCACTTGGTTTTCGTATGCCGGCTGCGTCGCTGCCTCGCTGCTGCCTCGCTGCTGCCTCGCTGCTGCCTCGCTGCCTCTCTGCTTCTGCGTGCCCGTAAATCACATTTGCATTTGTTGTTCCACATAAATTAGACGCACCTTCCGCCCAGCGCACCGGCAACTGGCACTCCCCCTTATCAAAGCCATGAGGCACAGGCACAGGCAGAGGCAGAGGCTGAGGCAGAGCCACAGTCTGTCGGAAGATTAGCTAATCGACTGTGATAAACCCTGAGGCGACCCAGTACGGAATTAGAAGCTACATTTTTCTCTGATAAGTGCCATAAGCGGTTGTGGCTCTGCCTTTATCTTTATCTTTATCTTTACGGTTTGGCGACTATCGATGGCTGCGCCCGGCTGCCCCTGATAACACTTTGTTTTGAAGTCGCAGATATCTAAAGCTGCTGCAATCTCTGCTGACAGCTGACATTAGCTGTGACCTCTGAGGTGCGAAGTGTTCTTTGACTTTCACTGATCCTTTGGCCCATTACCGAACAGAACCCAGTCTACCGTTGAACAGCCTTCGACGGATATCCATCCATCACCCGTCCAACAAATGCCGCTGACATTCCCTAATAAACTTTGTGATTTGGCGCACTGTCTGTTACCTGCCTTTACGTTTACTTACTTACATTTACTAGACGCTGGCAAATTAGAAATGCCAAACTGCAGTTGCCATTTAAATGGCATTTCCCCCGCCCAGCAGCACGGATCTCCAGCAAATAAGATGCGGGGCACGTTGTCGCGAGTTCACTTTTGTGGCTACGATATGAGGAAGGCGTCTTAGCTAAGTAAATGCTCAGTTAGGGAAGGCTCTAGCGGATTTGTTCATAAATTCACTTTAAGAATAATTATGCCAGAATAATTCTGGGGGGAGAGAGAGAGAGAGCAGCGCTTCCAAGGTGACAGCGTGACAGCGATGCCAAAACTTGATTGAGGGCTCTGCAGGCATGAGAAATATATTCCAAAAATATGCAGGAAATACACCCACACACACACACACACACACACACAGCTTTAAATGAAATATTTTGGCTTTAAAAACATTATTTTACATAAATGTATATTTAAATTTCATTTGCTGCTTCTCAAAACACTTTAAAATAAATATTTCAAGTGCTTGAAAAATATCTTAAAAGCAAACTTAAAGTTACAAATATTAAATTTAATATAATTCAACTTAAACATTTAAATTTAATTGCATTTAAATGTGTAATAAATGCTTAAAGAGCTTTAAATAACTCAAATATCTCTAGCCAGAACGTGTCTCTCTCTCTCTCTCTATCCCAGTGTTGCTTAGCCGTTGGATTCGCCCTAAAATATACAAATTGTGTGGGTGGGTCACAGCTATGCTTTATTGAAGTGTGTTTGTATATGGTAAGAGAATTGTTAGAGGTATGGTCGGTAGAGCTCGAAGGCCTGCTGCTGCGCCTGGCAATAGGTGGGCACGGGCTGCAGCTGCTGCAGCTGCTGGGGCGGTCGTGGCATGAGCCTCTCCAGATGCTTCATCTGGCTCTGCAGCGACTTGATCTCCAAGGTGTTCCTTTCGATTCTCCTCTGCAGCAGTCGTATCTGTTTCATTTTGATTCGTTGCTGCAGACTTTGGCGCGTTAGTCTTCTCCTCTCCCGCTGGTTGAGCTCTTCGTTGATGGCCTGGTCAATGGGCATTTGTGGCGGCAGTGGCGGCGGCGCTGGGTGCATGGCATGCGGCGTCGTCTGCAGCGGCCACAGGGGCAGTCCGTACTGCCTTAGGGCATAGTGATACTCCAGATGCTCGGGCACTTGCGGCTTCTGTTGTCGTGGATACGGCGCCGGACGCTTGAACACGTGCTCCTGCGTGCAGGGAGTCTGCGTCGCAGTCGCAGTCGCACATCCGCCCTGCGCGCCACTCATTTTCGAAGTGAATGCCGTTCAAGGCAAAAGTTGCAACTGACACATGTGTAATGTGGCACGCTTAAGCGCACTTTTGTGTGTATTTGTGGCATGGTTGTTGCCGCGCAGGCTGCGCTTCTTCACATCGCTCGCCTATTTTTATATCCTTGCCACAGCCACTGGCTGTGGTGTCATTTCCAAGGAAAAGTACGCTCCCGTTTCAAGGACTCGCATTTGGGTTACCTTTGAGCTTTATTCTTTACCCAAAAGAGAAACCAAATAATATAAATTAAGACTAGCTCCCACACAAGTAACCAAACCGACAGCTTGCCGCTGCCTGGCTTGGCTACAAATCATCCGCGTGCATGTGCTGCACCTTGAGGTGCTGCCTTTCCGAGTGCTGCCAATCGTCGCGAATAAAGTCCGCTGCGCGCTCGGCAATCATTACGGTGGCCGCATTGGTGTTGGCGCTGACCACGTTGGGCATGACGCTGGCATCGGCCACGCGCAGATTGCGTGCGCCATGGAGCTGGAGGCGGGGACTCACACAGGACTGGTCATCGGTGGCGGGGCCCATCTTGACGGTGCCCGTCTGGTGGTAGCAGGTGACGGTGAAGTGGCGCGCATAGCAGCTCCAGTAGCCATCGCTGCGGTACGCGTGCTGCGCGTCGCACTCCTCGATGGGTATGTGGACCATTTCGGCCAGCTGGGCCTGGAAGGCCTGGGTGCGCTCGAGCGACTCGATGTGGCGAATGCCGCGCAGCACGGTGGCCACATCCTCCCGCTCCGACAGGTAGTTGCTGACGAGGAGTGGCGGCAGGGCTGGATCGCGGCTCTGCAGGCGCAGTTCGCCCTTGGCCTGGGGATGGGAGAGCAGCAGAAAGACGCAGAGCAGCTCGGAGTCACGCAGCAGGGACTGGAGATGCTGCAGATACTGCTCCTGGAAGGACACGCCGCGCAGGAACACCTCCAGCTGGTCGTGGCGGCCACGACGGAAGAACAGATGATGATTCTCCACATCGGGATAGATGCTGCTGCCATTGGTGTTGACGAAGCCCACCAGCGAGGCCGTGCCGTGCGTGGCCAGCTCACCCGTGCGATGGATTAGATACTCGTATATGCTGTCCAGGATCTCCTGCTGTGTGGCAGCCTGCGTCCGGCCCTCGTTGAGGCGCAGGAAGAGCGGCACGACCAGATGATCCTGCAGATTCTTGCCCACGCCCGGCAGCTCCAACTGCAGCGGAATGCCCAGCTCCTGGAGCTGCTCGCGGCCTCCAATGCCGGAGCGCAGCAGCAGCGCCGGGGAGTCGATGCTGCCCGCCGAGAGCACAGCCTCCTTGGCCACCTCGACGCGCTGCAGGCGGCCCTTGCGCTCGAAGCTAATGCCTTGGAGTAGATCCTTGTGGAAGTGCAGCTGCTTGACCAGCGCATGCTTGACGATGTGGAGATTGGGCCGCGCTTTGGCCACCGCTGCCAGGTAGCCCTTGGCCGTGCTCATGCGCTCCCCCTGCCGCACGGTGCCCGGCGCATGGCCGTAGCCCGTCTCGCTGCCCTCCGCGAACTCGGCCACATGGGGCACGCCCAGCTCCAGGCCGCCCGCGATGATCATCTGGTGGATGTCATCGTCCTGCCGCTCAAACGGATTGAGGGTCACGTAGCCCTTCGGGTGGCTCTCGTTTCCCTGGGCCCTCACCGAGCGCTCAAAGAAAGGCAACACCTCGTCATAGCTCCAGCCATCGTTGCCCAGTGCCGCCCATCCGTCGTAGTCCCGCCGATTGCCTCGCAGGTAGAGCATCGCATTGGCCGATCCCGAGCCGCCTAGCATGCGCCCGCGCGGCCAGTAGACGCGTCCATCCTTGAGGCCGCGACTGGCCAGCTCGCTCGGCTCCGCGAAGTAGTTCCACGTGAATTCCGTGTGCTGCAGGCCAAAGAACAAGGCTGGCAGCTGGGGGGAGCAAGAGAGTGCATTTTGCCGGACTGATTGATTGATTGATCGACTCACCTCAGCCTCCGCGGGTGGATCTCCGCCAGCCTCCAGGACCAGCACTCGCCAATCCGGGTTCTCGCTGAGGCGGCTGGCCACCACAGAGCCCGCGGAACCGGCTCCGATCACCACAAAATCGTAGGGCTCCTCGTCCAGGTCCCCATCGTAGTCGGCTGGCCACTTGCTGGCGGGTGAGACTTGGCACTGGGCCGAGAGCAGGGCCTGCAGCAGCATGCTGACCATGCCGCCGAAGAGTCCGATGGCTGAGAGGCCGGTGGCGGCTGTGGCGCCACACTGGCCCGCCGCAGCGATGGCCTCGCTGAGATTGAGACTGACGCTGGCTGCGTGCGACATCTCGCTTCGAATATATCTGAGTGGCAGGCGCTGCTCGCGATCCGCTTATATAGTCCGCGATAAGCGATCAGCGCAAGGAGAGAGGCAGAGCGAGAGGGAGAGGCAGAGGCAGAGGGCGGGCGCTCCCACAGTGCGCACTCCTCGCTGAGGACGTTGACTCAAGCAGGCAGTTAGTTCGCTCTCTCCACGTGTGATGCCCTCCTGTTGTCGTTTTAAATTCCGGCACTCTGCTGGCATTACACACCCAATAGAGTCCGGACTGTAAGTCAAGTGGCATCAGAATGTGCGATAACATTGCCAGTGAGAATGTGTCGTAAGACCCACAAAGAAAACATTAGAAGACTTTCCGCAACCAGCCAATGCTTCAAATACCCTTTCTAGTGCATGGAACATGCGTTCTTTTTTCCGTGGCTGTAAAGAAGCGGCCGACAGCATAGAAAAGGTTCACAGGCAGCGCAGTCGGCACATGCGCAGCGTAAAAGCTTCGTGTGGCGAACCGACGCAGCGACAGAGAAGCAAGAAACGTTTTGCGTGGACCACAAAGCCAGAGAGCAAAGATGTCACTCTCTCGCCTACCCACCCTCTGTGCCGCTCTCTGGCAGATAAATGCATAGTGAAGATCCCGTTATTTATGTGCTGCAGCAGAGAAGCAAGAAAGGTTTTGTGTCTGCTTGTCTGTGCGCAGGTAGAAAAACATGCGAGTAGCTGCGTGTCGAGCGGGGATAACGGGATCCCTGCAATGGGTTGATCGAGAATGTAACTGTGCATTGCTCGCATTAATGAGTGTAGCTGCTGCATTCCAGTGACTCTGCGTGTATTCTAAGAACAAAAATAACAAAACAAAAATAAAATATAAAAATAAAAACAAACAAAAAACAAACACAATTTGAGGGTCTTGATTGCACGCTTTTATCGCTCCATCGTCGGGTTTTCGTATCTGATTAAACAAGTTGTATAAAACTCAGTTAGCACACACACACACACACGCACACCCCAACAAACACGTGCACTAAAAGTGTAACACTTAAGAACAACACCTACACTACAACAAGTGATTAAAATGATAGCCAACATGGACAGATGTACACATGGGGGGGTCAGAGGCCGCTGTTCATGGCTGTCCGTATGAACTGAACGGGCGCTGGCAGCACGGAATTAGCCGCTGCCGCAATCAGATTGCCAACGGGCACCAAATTGAGGCCAGCACTGAGATCTGAAAGAAGTAAAGAATTAGTTTTGGTTTGGGTTGAGCTTCTGGCAATTACTCGTTTACCCGATGGATCGTTCAATGGCGGCGGCCTCTGTTCCGCTTCTGCACCTGGGCCAGTGTCCTCTGAGAAGATGAACTCCTGTGGTCGTGCCAAGCATAAAGGCAGCAGCATTGCCACGAGCAGCAGCATTGTCCTTATGCTCTGATCGATTTTCATCATTTTGAGTTTTGGGAGGAATCTGCGGACGCTCGTCGTCTGCTGGCGCTCAGTGGCGGACGTGAACTGACCCGCGATCTGGCAGCGTCCAAGCATGAAAAGCAAGCAAAACCTTTTTCTGCCACCAGCCCAAGCCATGGCCCACTGAGGCACCCCTCGTGAAAACTGGTCAAACTCGTAAGCCCCGTCGTTTGCCATTTGGTTCAGTGTCCGCTCATAAATTACATCAAAGTCAGCAGCAACAGCAGCAGCAGCAGGCAACAAAAAACACAAAGAAAAAGAATAAATAAATATCACAAAATGCTGCTCAATGCTGTGGCAGAACAAAAAGTTAATTCAATTCTAGTGACAATTGCTCATTGCAAGTGAATCAAGTGTCAAATGCATTCCAAGATCATCGATCAGCTGCCCCTGGAATGTCATCAGTCAGCACTTCCCCAAAGCTCGGTCCAATTGATTTATGAATGTGCCAATCACAGGGTTAAACACACAGCTGGCTCTCAGCTGTCACATGGAATAATCCCATAGATCATATCAGTTTTCAGGTTTCAGTTCTTTATTGATTGCCAGATTCCTACCAGCCACCATTGGGGTAGTGCCGCCAGTCCTCCTTAATGATATCCGCACCGCGTTCGGCCAGCATCAGCGTTGGGGCATTGGTGTTGCCCGTGGGTATGGTGGGCATAATGCTGGCATCGATCACCCGCAGGCCACGCAGGCCGCGCACTCTCAGGCGCGGATCCACGACGCCCGAGGGATCGTGGGCGGGTGCCATTTTGCATGTGCCAACCGGATGGTAGATGGTCTGCGAGTAGAACCTGGCCAGGCACTCCCAGAACGCATCGCTGAGGTACTCCACCTCGGGGCAGTTGCGCCACTCGTAGATGTTCAGCGTGGCATTGAGGGCCACCATCACGGGCGTTTGGGTGAGGCGATGGGCCATCTTGAGGCCCTCCACCATGACCGCCATGTCGCGGGGATCGTCATAGTAGTTGGCATGGATGAGCGGATGAACGCGTGGGTCCGCGGAGCGCAGCTGGACGAAGCCACGCGATCGGGGACGCATCAGCAGCGGCGCAATCACAAACGAGTCCTGATAGAGCACCGGCTCGAAGGCTTCCGCATAGTTCTCCAGCGTGATGGCCGCTCCACGACGTCCCACCATGCCGCCATCAGCCCCGTAGCCGTAGCTGCCCAGGAAGAGCTGCACGTCCGGCCAGTCGAGTCCGGCATCCTGGTAGCGGGTGCTCACGAATCCCATGACCTCGCTGACGGGCATCGCATAGAAGAAGCTGGGGGCGCCCCGCAGGAAGGCGGCCACCGACTCCTCGGTGAGCATCTCCGGCACCAGGAAGGACAGATGCCGCTCCTGATGGCCGTCGAAGGTGTAAATGGCGCCCGAGGTGGAGATGTGATCCTGCAGGTTGCCGCCGACGCCGGGCAGATGCTGCACCACCTCAATGCCCAGCGGCTCGAGCTGCTCCCTGGGTCCCACGCCGCTCACCATCAGCAGCTGCGGACTGGCCAGTGCCCCAGCGGCAAGGATCACCTCCCGCGTGGCCCGCACCGTGTACCGCCCCAGGCCGTACTCGAAGACGACGCCCAGCACGCGGCGGGACTGTGGATCGATGAGCAGCCGCTCCACGAATGCCTTCAGCACAATGTCCAGGTTGGGGCGCTGCCAGCTGCGGCGCATGTAGCCCTTGTTGGCGCTGCACCGCAGGCCGTCGCGCAGGGTGCCGTGGGGTGGGGCGAAGCCGGTCTGGGTGCGGCCATTGAAGTCGCCGTCGGGATGGGCCAGGCCCAGCTGCTGGACGGACTGCATGAAGATCTCCAGCAGTGGCGAGGGGAAGCGGTAGCGCTCCACCGAGATGGGTCCGCCATGGCCGTGGTAGGGATTGTGCTCGTACCCCGGCACCCGCATGTCCTCCGTCTTGCGGAAGTAGTGCAGAATATTCGAGTACTCCCAGCCGGTGTTCCCGAGCTCCGCCCAGTGGTCGTAGTCCCGCCGATTGCCGCGGATGTACATCATGGCATTGATGGAGCTGCAGCCACCGAGCACCTTGCCGCGCGGCCAGAAGCAGCGACCATCCTCCATGGCCAGGCAGTAGCGATCCGAGGGCTCCGTCTGATACTTCCAGTCCCAGGGACTGCGCTGGAACACCGGATACATCTGCGGCAGATCGATCAGCAGCGGCTCGTCGCCGCCAGCCTCCAGCAGCAGCACATTCCAGTGCGGATTCTCGGACAGGCGAGCGGCCAGCACACAGCCCGCCGATCCGCCCCCCACCACAATGAAGTCGTACGAATGGCGCAGCTCCTCGATGCGTATGGAGCGCACCCGATGCTCTTCATCCACAATATCCGGCCTCTGCTCCAGGATGCCCTTGTTCAGCAGCAGTATGACCATGGCCGAGGGACCAAGGGTCAGCAGGAACCGCCACATGGTCACAAATGTGTTGATCGCCGTCATTGTTCGGATTTCATACTGATCGCCGATCGCTGTCTGCTCTGCCTGCCCTCTGTGTGGCTCTGTGTTGCGCTGAGCCGGCACTTGCCCGAAACTGCTGAGCCCACAAGAGCGAGTGCATTGACCAGAGTGCAAGAGACTTCTGCATTCCCAGCTAAACACTGTCCAGCAGGAGAATTAAAAACTGTGCAACGCGAAGGTCATGGCTGCAGAGGTCATGTCCACAGCTACAATCTGCAATCTGCAATCTGCCCCTCCGATAAGATACGGCGGCCATAAGTACACCGCTGATCAAAACAAAAGCCAGCACCAAAGCAAAAAAAAAGCAACAGCAACCAGCAGCAGCGACAGCAAAGGGTAAACCAATAACAGCAAACAGCAAGCAATGAGCAAAGCAACAACAACAGCAAGCAAGCAATGAGCAAAGCAACAACAACAACAGCCACAGCAAAGTGCAGCTGCGAAGGAGAAGCAAAAAGAGCAAACGAAAATACGATAAGCACATCGAGCGGCTAACTGTGTGGGTGCAAGCATGAAGCAACTATATAAGGAGGTCTCGTCGGCAAAACTAAGAAATTCGTGCGAGTGAAAAGTGCGAGTGCAAGGGCTTTAGCTGTTAGTGTGAGGGCAACGGAGCAATGGAGTCTGCTGATTAACCTTTTGAAGGCAATGTGAAAAAACATAATAATTGTTTCATAATTTAATGTTTAATAGTTTGCTACATGATAGTAGTGTTTGTTTAAAAAAAAAAAAACATTTTGAAAATATTTGCAAAACAATTTTGTCCACAACCAACCTTCCGCGTCGACAAGCAAACGAGCACTGACAATAAGCAGAACCAACGAGAAACTCTGCCACCGACGAGGCCTCCTTATAGTTACTTCATGCATATGTACATCTGCATGTCTGTGCACGCGTGCAGATTGTTGCGGTTTATAATAGTTTCGATTCCGCTTTCAGCAATTGCCAAAAAATTAACTTGCTCGCTCGCTAATTTCGTGCTTGAGAATCGGGGAATCGTCATAAAGATTTCAAATTTGAACCAAAAAGTTATTTTCTGTCAAAAGATAAATGCTAAATGGGTGGCACACGTAATGGACAAGTTACACTGGAAGAAAAACGGAGACACGCACTCATATTTTCAATGAAATATTTCGGTTTGTTAAAAACATAAAAATATTGTGATGTTTAATAGAATTCAGAAATATAGAAATATTAATAGGCTAATGCCAGATATCAGTGATGACTATTTTGTATTTTTATAGCCAAAAAATTAGCCACTAACAAGAGAAAAATAATTACACCACCTCATTGGCCTGCTGATCCTCGATGATCATGCGTGCGCCCTGCTCTCCGATCATCATGGCCGGACCGCTTGTGTGGCCCGCCGTTATCTCCGGCATGATGCTGGCGTCCACCACTCGCAGTCCGCGCACCCCGTGCACCCGCAGCCGCTCATCGACGACGCCGCGCGGATCGCCAGCAACGGCCATGCGGCAGGAGCCAACCGAATGCCAGGAGCCCACATAAAAGTGTCGAATGTAGCACAGCCAGAACTCGTCTGAGTCCGCGTCCGCGTCCGCGGCCAGCTGGTCGCACTCGGGCAGGGGGGGCAGCCAGAGCTGAAGGCCGCAGCGGCGGAAGGATTTGGTCTGTGCCAGCCGCTGCACGTAGCGCACATAGCGGAGCAGGGTGGCCCGATCCTCGAGCTCCTCCCCGTAGTGGCTCTCGATGAGCGGCGCGCTCAAGGGATCCGCACTGCGCAGCCGGATCACGCTGCGGGAAAGCGGCCGCAGCAGGGAGCCCATGATCTGCAGCAGGTCCGACTCGAGGAGCGCATGACGCTGGGCCTCCACCAGCTCTGGCCGGAATCCCAGGTAACCAAAGCTGCCCGCGCCGCCGCGCGCCATCAGCGTGTGAGCCACCAGCTGGAGATCGGGCTCGCCCTCGCTGGACCCGGGCGCACTTGAGTTGATGAAGCCCATCATGGAGAAGCTGTTGGCCAGCGGTCCCCGCTGCTCATTCAGCAGATACTCGGCAACGGCTGCAGCCGAGTAGGCGCTGGGGGCCGCCTCCCGAGTGCTGTTCACAGCGCAATTGCGGGTGAAGCGGAGGTAGAGCGGCAGCATCCCATGATCGTGAAGGTTCTGGCCCACGGGCAGCTCCCTCAGCGGTGTGATGCCCAAAGGACGCAGCTGTGCTGCCGATCCAATCCCAGAGAGCAGCAGCAGCTTGGCAGAGTTGATGGCTCCGCCGCTCACGACAACCTCACGGAGCGCCTTGGCGGTGCGCTCTCCGCCGTCCAGGGAGTAGACAACGCCCTTGGCCCGACTGCCAGCCTCGTCCAGCAGCACTCGCCGCACGGTGGCGCCTCGGATTACATGCAGATTGGGTCTCCGACTGGACTCCGGGGTGGCCAGGTACAGGCGCCCGCTGCTGGCTCGCCTTCCCGCATTGAGGGTCACTGGCACGTGGTGGGTGTAGCCGAAGCTGGAGCCGGCCAGCAGCGGCTGCTTCATGCGCGGCACTCCCAGCTCCGTGGCAGCCGCGTAAATCAGGCTGGAGAGCCGCAGGTTGAGGGGTTCCACCTGGAAGTAGCTGAGCTGCAGGCGCCGCTGCAGCTGGCGGTAGGCCAACTGCACCTGGGGCCAGTCCCAGCCGCTCAGATTCAGCCGCCGGCGCCATCCATTGAAGTTGGCCTGGCTGCCGGGCACAAAGATGTTGCCGTTGAGGGCCCCTGTGCCGCCCATCATGCGGCCATGCCACCAGGAGCAGCCATGCGGCGGCTCCATGGCCAGACAGCAGCTGGGACTGGGCTGGGCCCTGTCCAGGTACATGTACCGCTTGTCGTGATGCAGCGCGGGACTCAGCGCGAAGATCTCCGACTCGAGCGGCGGCAGCTCGCCCGCCTCCAGCAGCAGCACCCGCACATGCGGCGACGACTCGCTCAGGCGACTGGCCACAATGGACCCAGCACTGCCCGCACCCACCACAATGTAGTCGTAGGACTCGATCTCCTCCAGCTCCACGGGCGGCTGATGCTGTGGCGGCCAGGCCGTGTCGTTGGCCAGCGCCAGGCTGGCGTCACTCAAAGCACCCGCCACAGACTCCATCAGGGCTAGGCCCAGGCCATTGCTCTCCACGGTGAAGAGGCCCCAAGCGCCGGAAGCTGCCGCCAGCAGCAGTAGCAGGAGCAAGGTTCCCGGCAGACCGCACATGATGGACTGTCCGGAATGCCCGATAAAAATGCAACAATAAACCCACAGAAATATCATCCATATCGGGTATTATATTATATATACTTTTGTTTTGGCACGCCATAAACAAGAGCAACCCTGCCAGCCATAAATATGTTTATAGCGCAGCTCCACACACACAAACACACATTTTACGGCGTGTTGTGGCGCTGTTAATGAACTCCCTGGCTGGCAGTCAGTTGCTCGCTCTTTTGACTCAACTCAAGCTGAGGGAAGAGCTGATGGCTAGAACTTGTCTAACAAATTAAAAGCCATCTGCAATTGGTATTTGTGTGAGTTCAAGCCTTGCCATAAACAGCCAGTGTTGAGCAATGTGTTGGACAACAGGAGACTCACACCCATCCTTCTGCCAGTGCTGCAAAAGCTTAACATTTATGTTTCACATTATCATTGAAATCATTTAATCGTACATTAAATTAGAATAAATACAGCTTCTACTTATAAAGTACAAAAAAAAAAGGAGAGAGAGCAGATGTCAATAAATATAATTTTGGATAGGGAGTAGACAACAATCAGGCTAAAAAGCTAAACAACTAAAACATTCACTCGGCACTCAGAGACACTGATTCAGACACTCACACACTCGGGCACACTCATGCAAACACTGAGACACACACTGGGCTGGGCGGAGAGTAATACGAGTTAGACGATAGTGTTCTTGATCCAAAACTCCTTGATCATGTCGCTGCCCTTCTCGGCAATCATGATGACGGGCGCGTTCGTGTTGGCAGAGACCAGCTTGGGCATGATGCTGGCATCGATGACGCGCAGTCCGCGGATGCCGTAGACCCGCAGCTTGGCATCGACCACCGCATCCTTGTCCCAGTAGGGGCCCATCTTGCAGGTGCCCACGGGATGGTAGATGGTGGAGGTGTAGCGCCGCACCATGCACTCCCAGAAGGCGTCGGTGAAGAGCGGCACCTGCTCGCATCCTGGCCAGCGAATGCTCGAGAGCCGGGAGCCGAAACGTTGCATGGCCTTGGTGCGGGACAGGGCCACGGCGATCTTGACGCCCTCGATGAGCGTCTTCATGTCGAACTCGTCCGTCAGATAGTTGGGAAAGATGTACGGATAGTCGAAGGGATTGCCGCTGCGCAGCCGGATGTTGCCCACGCTCCGGGGTCGCAGTAGCATGGGAATGATGCTCCAGGCATCCCGATTGTTAATTGGCTCAAACACGGACCGGTAGAAGGCCTCCGTCAGGCCGTGGGCCTTGCGCAGCTGCGATCCGCCGTCGGAGTTCGTCGACCCAGAGACAAAGTGGAACTCAATGTCCGGCCAGTCGAGGGTGCTGTTTGCGTATTTTGTGTTCACGTACGCCAGACCCTCGACGCCGCCCAGAATGGTGAGGGGTCCCTGGCCGAAGACGGCGTACTGCAGCACCGTGGACATGGTGTGGAATCGATTCTCGACAATGGACACTGGCTGATTGACGAGGAAGGTGAGGCCACCGAGTCCGATGTGATCCTGCAGGTTCTCGCCCACACTCAGCTCCTTGATGAGCGGAATGCGGTGCTTGGCCAACTCCTTGCGCGGGCCCACACCGCTCAGCATCAGCAGCTGGGGACTGTTGACGGAGCCGCCGGAGAGGACCACCTCCTTGGTGGCCCGCACATGGTAGAGCTTCTGATCCTTGACGAACTCCACGCCGAATGCCAGCTTGCTCACCGGATCGATCATGATGCGGGTCACATGCGAGTTCATTGAGATGTGGAGATTGGGTCGCAGCCGGGCGGGACGCAGAAACGCCTTCGAGGTGGAGCAGCGTGAGCCGCGTCGCGTCGTTCCCTGGGCAATCATGAAGCCGGTCATCTTCTCACCATTCAGATCGCGATTCTCGTAGCCCATCTCCACGCCGGCCTCCACAAAGCTGGCCGCCAGCGGCGTGTGGTACGGCGCCTCGCCCACCGTCAGATACCCGCCCGTGGCATGGTACGGGGTATTGGCCAGATACTGATTGGTGTTGTCCTCCGACTTCTTAAAGTAATACAGGGCATCGCGATAGGACCAGCTGGGATTGCCCATTGCCTCCCAGTTGTCGTAGTCGTGCTTCGATCCCCGCAGATACAGCATGTAGTTCAGCACGGAGCTGCCGCCGAGCACCTTGCCCCTTGGCCAGTTGCAGCGTCCGCCCTGCATTGCTGGAGGAATAAATGCAACGAGGTTATAACGCAACGAGACCTGGCAGGTAAAGTGTTTCCCTTACCCAAACAGGAAGTGCCCGATGGCTCCGTTTTGTACTGCCAGTCGATCTTCGATAGCTGCAGATAGCCAGCCATCAGGGGCACATCCGTCAGCTCCGTCTCGTCGCCGCCCGCCTCCAGGAGCAGCACATTCCAGTTCTCCACTTCCGTGAGACGATTGGCCACCACGGCACCGGCCGATCCGGCTCCTATCACTATAAAGTCATAATGATCGAGTATCTCATCGCCGCTGACATCGCTGGGCTTCGACTCGGGATCCATGATCTCCTCATACTGAAAATAGGCCACGGCCGCCATCAGCATGGGGATGAACCAGCTGTTGCTGGTGGCCGCCGTCACCGCTCCGCCAATCGCCGACGCGGCGCCCACAATTGCCGAGCTCATGTCTCTGGGGATGCGATCTGCCTATATGGGTCGTCACTCGCTCGTTCCTCTGGCTGTCTTCCAATTCCAAGCGATCCACGATCCGTTCTACGTGTCTGTAATGCCAATTGAAAAGAGTTTGTTGAGTGAGGGGTTAGTGGATTGCAGTGGACATGACATGAAAAGTCTCGCCTCGCCACTTAGTATGTAATCGGGTTAGGCGATCGTCGGGGATCGGCGATCAGGAGCCGACTTTTCATGCTTCCATATTTCAATCACGATCTCGCATCGATTCAAACATTTCGTAACTGGCATTTGTTATGCATTTGTGGCCTCCGAGTCGGACTCTAAGTATTACAGGCCCAGATAATCGTGATCGTTAGATCTGTAAGCTCATTTGTAGGCCCGATGGTCACTGATTAGCACATTTTGTACACCCTTCAGATGACACACGAGAGATATTCAGGGCAAATAGATTTAATTTTCCCATATATATCCCGTTTTATATCCCACTTTTGGGCATTCTGCTATCTGCCCTGTAGTTCTTTACGCTATTATTTCTACTTTGGTTAGGGTATCTTTCGGCCGGTCACCTATGCATTTTGCTTTGACTTTTCTTTTCCAATTGTTCATTGCACGTGTGTCTGCTTGGGTGTGAAGACGGTTCAGGGCTAGAGGGGGTCTTGTCTCCCGCATAAAAGTGAAATCTCCATCTCTATTATAAAACTTTGCTTGGGAGCAACAAAAAAGTCGAAAAACGGAAAATTTCTTTCACACAGCGGCGAGTGGCATGCAACCATTTTGTTGCACACATAAAACCCAAATAGAGAGAGAGAGATGGAGACTCCTTCGCCTCTCACTTGCATGCACGTAGGAATGTTGGATGCATCTGTCTCCCAGCTTTCGGACACAACATTTCCTGTCGCCGATTTTTTGCATAATCTTTGCTTTCAGCAAAACATTCGAGGTGGATGCTGTTGTCGTTGCTGTGGACCGTTGCTCTGTTAGTTGATGCTAGGCAATTACAAACATGTTGCTGTTGACTGTGGGCCGTTGCTGTTGTAAACTGGTTGGCCCTCTGCCTCTGCCGCTGCCGCTGCGCTGAGAGTTGAATGTGCGCTGCCGCCGCGGCCTCTGCTGCTCCTAATGCCGCCTCTGCTGATCAAGTTCAAGGTACAACAATCGACAAGCAGGCATAGCGCAACGGCAGCAGCAGGCGCTGCCAGCAAGCGGCTACTAAATGCGAATTCGAGTGCGACTGGAGGTGGAGATGGGGGTGATGGACATAGCAATAAGCTGCTAAACAGTTAGTTAAACAGCACCAAAGAGAAATGCATAACAACAGAATGAGCAAGAGCGCAAAGCAGTGCTGGCTTGCAGGGATCGAAGCGTAAGATACCCTGCAATTACAATTAATAAGAAGGACAGAGCATCAACTACAGTGTTTAATGAATGTTTTCTATTGCGGTATAGAAAAATGTCATTAAGAAATTTCTAGAAACAACTGAATATATGTCTCAACTCGCACCTCTCCGCTTCGTTGCAAAGATGTTCCAAAAATGAGAATACCCTCCACCAGGGTGTTACAATATTTACAGCTAATATAACAACAGCGAAGAAGAGCGGCAGCCACTCGCAAGAAATGAATCACTTTCGTTGAGAAAGCTTCTGCGTAGGCGTCGCAGTCGCTGTCTCAGTCTCAGTCGCTGTTGCTGTTGCTCTGCCAGCTTTGCCTGCCGTCTACCTGCTGTCACCGTTACAACCGGCGTCGCAGGGCAGAATTTTCGTGCGTATTCTTTTTTGGAGCCTGGTTCTTATTGACTTTGATTTCTTTTTTGTGTGTTTTTTTTTGTTTTCGCCGTTGGCACACTTTTGCCGTGCAGTGCTCTCACACTCTCTCAGCTGCTTACTCACTTGGGGGGGGGGGGTGGGGGCAAGGAATGGATGAATGGATGGGCACAAAGACAGATTGTAGGAACTAGCAATGATGGTGGAGTGGAGCGCGTTTCCTTTGACGGATTTGTTTGTGCTTTTCGTGTACACTTTCTTTCGTGCTTTTGCGTGTTTTTTCTTTGTTATTCGATGCGATGCGCGGCCGCACGTTGTGAGCTTCGGTGGCCAACTGAAGCAAGTTGTGGAGAGAGGGCCACACTGAAGAAGCCAGTCACGCCACACACACACACTCTTTCTCCCGCTCTCTTTCACCTTGGGCTCTCTCATACTCTCTGGCAAGTGTTGGCCATCTCTCGCTTGCTGGCTTTGCACATGCGCAGCCTGCCCAGCTGCATGCACCTGTGCATGTGTGCATGTTCGTGCATGTCTGGTGTCAGGAGGAGGGGCCCTTGGGCACTTTGACACCTGAAATGGCCAATTCGCTGCACTTCCTGTTTGGCTTGTCTGCTTGCACTGCTGGCTACGAGTCCCCGACGTGTTTGCCGGCACGTAGGCAACACACACACTCGCGCACAGTCTCTAGTGTGCGTGTGTGGAGAGTGGTGGCGAAATGCTTTCACTCTTATTTTATGGTCAACTGGCCAAAAGCTCGCCCTGACCAAAGGGGCAGACACTCTGACAGCACACCTTTTTGTGGGTCACCCACAGTGACGCCCAGTGACGTCAGAAAGTTTAGTGTTAAATATTAATTTTACTTGTAATTTTTACCTATAGCCGTTATTTACCTCCTCTCTCTTTCTCTCTCTCTCCTGCAGGTGGCTGCTGCGGCTCGACGAAGAAGCGAACCATCGTCGGCGGATGGGCCTGGGCCTGGTGGCTGGTGACGGACGTGCAGCGGCTGTCGCTGAACGTGATGACCCTGAATCCGATGTGCGAGAACGTGGAGACGGCCCAGGGCGTGCCGCTGACCGTGACGGGCGTTGCCCAATGCAAGATCATGAAGGTACACCCCAATCGTTCCCACAGCGCCCAAACTCAACCCCCAGCCCGTCTTGGATTTTCTCTTTATTTCCTTCGGTTTGTTTGTCGAGTACTCTGGCAACCCCTTTTATTCTTCTGCACCACGAATCGAATCTGAACGAAAGTGATTGAAGCTTCTCCCTCCCGTATTTTTCTTGAGTTTTGTATGCTAGATTTTGTTCCTTTAACGATTATCCCGAGCGTGCATCCTCCCCTCCCCCAGCCATGTAGAGAGAGCCCCACCCCAGGGGCTGGTAGCAACGTAGACAGTTGGTTTCCCGCTTGCATCTATTTTTGGAATTCTATGCATAGTCTAGCCCTAAGCCGCATCCGTATCGAATGTATTTTAATCCAACATTTGGCTATTTGTTTTTGTACAAATTCTTTACTGTTCCGATCCAAACCCGATCCGCCCCAAGCAAACACCCCCATCCTAATCGAATGCCCATTTAGCCCTGCAAGCGCCCCAACTCTGCCCGACACCAAGTAAGTTGAGATCACCTCACCCATGCCAGTGGTCGGTTCATGTAGCCCTAGCTGTAGCTCCAGCACTAGACTTACATTTCGATGTACACACACACACAAAGTATCTTTGAAGTAGAATATCATAAAACACTTGCTGCCTTTTGTTTGGTTTTCCACATGCATTTTCCTTTGGATGCGATTTTGCTTAGTTAGTTTCTTTGATAAAGTTTTCCTTTATTCAGTTTTGCCATCTGATATTTGATATCTATTTGCCTGGATATGTTAATAATTTCACATCTTATTCCTTCTACTCATTGTGTTCCATTCGATTATAATATTCTTTTTCTGTTCATCCATCATAGCAAACTCTGCAACGTTTTCTTCGGTAACTTTACCAATCACGTGATTTAATCATCCTCATTGTAGCCATAGTTTACTCGATCGAACTGATAACTAACCCATTCGTTCGATAATCCGACTATTGCATCACTTATTAGTGCACCCATTCGATCACTGCTGATCTTCACTGCACCAACTGTGAATTAAACACGCGAATCACAAAAGCACTTGACTCGATGTCTGTTCCGATCTATGAGTACGCTTCTATTTGGTCTGAATTATGATCGATGCGTTCCTGATATGTGTAGATGTATGCCTCCAAATTATTGCTCCATTAGTTAATTATTTCAATTCGATTTTGCAGTCATCTTCGTATAAGAATAACGATTATAATAACGACGAGGTATGTTTATTATTGCATTACTTTGATTTCACATTCACACTTTAATTGGTTTTTGGCCTGTTTAAGTTCTTGCCAGTGATCTTTATTTTTATACCCGTTACTCTCTAAATCATAAATGTGCTGACTGGGTACACGGTATAAAACTAGAGGCTCGGCCCCCTGCCGCGTCTCACAACGTTTCCGCTTATGTTTTTGTATCAATCACTGGGACACTCAAGCACACCCACAAACACACACGCACACGCACACACATAGCCATAGGGCATATCATTTCACTTTGAATGCAATTTTTTCTTTCCGTAATGTTTGATGCATGTTTCTGTTTCTGTTTCTGTTTCTGTTTTCATTTAAACTTTTAATCTTTCTCATTATTTGTTCAAAGTCATTCAATCATCATCATCAGAAGATGAGGAGGAAGAAGAAGAAGGAGAAAGACAAGTACAGTCTGCAAATAATTAAAAAAAAACATTAAATGAACGAAACGTAAACCTTGTTGACCTTTGTGTTCTACTCTTTTCTTTCTCTACTTTCTTTTCGCCAAACAAAAATGAACCAATTACCCTGCCGATCGATCGTTCGACTCCGACTCAACTCGAATCAACTCGAATCCACCACTCGAATCAACTCATCAAACTAATCCGCAACTAATTGTAAATGATATCGACAAAAAACCCCAAAATTAAATCACACACACACACACACGCATCAATTACAACTACAAATACAATAAAAAATAATAATAATAATAATAATAATAATAATATCTACTCGAAAACTGTTCCCTCTACTGCTACTACCGTTACTGCTATATGGTTACCGCTGTTACCGTTAATCCATGTATCGCTCTCTATTCTCTTTGTCTCTCTCTCTCGCTCGCTCTCGCTCTCACTCTCGCTGTGTGCTCCATGTGTGTGTGTGTGTGTGTGTGTGTGCGCATGTGTGTGTATTTGTGTGGGTGATCTACAACGTAAACGAAATGTAACCAACCAAAAACCAATCTTCGGCGGATCCAACACAAACACAACTAAAAAACAACAATCAATCGATTTATCGATAAATCATCAAACAACACACACACACACACACACACACACATACCACCACGCTCACGCACAGATGATGAATGTTTATTATTTCCATCATCAGGCCGACGAGCTGCTGGGCACTGCTAGCGAGCAATTCCTGGGCAAGAGCGTCAAGGAGATCAAGCAGACCATACTGCAGACCCTCGAGGGACACCTGCGCGCCATATTGGGTAAGTTCAATGCGATCAAGTTGGTGGTAATTATTTAGGAATACTTTAAGTACTCTATATACCAGGCAGAAACTGGCTCCTGGGTGTACTTAGTACTGGGCACTTAGAGCTATTGCCTAAAGCAATTTGATGCTGCCAATACTTTGCCCGAGTAACAGTCAACGAAGGAGCCAAACGTTTAACTTATCTCATGACTGAGCTGAATGACTCCTGCCCTCCCGCTCCTTCCATTAAAGACCACTGGCTGCAGTTCTGGTAATGCATTTTATGTTTGCTTCCTGTCAGTGTAGTGCCCTTAGTGCCCTCTTAATCATCTTCTAGATATGGAATTTGTATGTGTGGTTTGTTGGGAACATAATTCAATTTGGAAGGAGCAAAGCTAACGACGCAGGTAGACATTGATGTTCGGCTGATCGAACATATTGATGCTGTAGTCCAGCTCGTCCAGCTGCCGTTCGATCTCAATCTTGCGATTGCGCACGCGCAGCGTGGGCACGGACACGGGCATGTGGTTGTACTCGTCGATCAGCTTGTTGTACTTGAAGCGGGCCTCCTCGATGGCAGCCTTGCGCTCCGTGCTCGTCATGGGAGCGCAGTTCTCGTAGCCAAACTGTGTGTCCTTCTGCTGCGACTGGGACTGGGTCTGGGACTGCGACTGGGACTGGGACTGGGGCATTATCTCACTGTGAGAGTGACGACTTGGCTTGGCATGGACAGAGTTTGTCTTGTGCTTGACATCATTGGCACTCGACTTGGCAGTAGCGCTCGACTTGACTGTGGCACTGGACTTGACTGTGGCGTTTGACTTGATGGTCTCCTGGGACGGGGATCTCTTGCTGTGGCCACTCTTCACTGTGACCGTAGATACAACAGTCTTCACCGAGTTATCGCTACGATGGCTGACTTGAGAAACATTATCGCCGTCGCCGTCGCCGTCGCCGTCGCCCTCGTGCTTGCCATTTCCGCGCTTTGATTTTGTGGAGCGTATGGAGCGCTTTGAGGCCCGGGACATGCGCGAGCACTGGGACACATTGTCCGACATGTCACCCCCGCCATGGCTGCGGTCCTTGTTGCACTGACACTCCGGACAGTATTGCCCTGGACGGTCATGGTCGAAGGCATGGGGCTGGACCAGGCCGCAGCGAAGCTTCGCGGACTCGTAGGCGGCCGGGTAGCTAAATGCCAAGTCGCGACGACGCATCTGTCCATGGGGCAGCAGCTTCTTCGGATAATGTAGGACCACGGGGCGCCAGAGCGGAGCCCGCGAAGCAGCAGCCGTCGCCATCTGGCCTTGATTGTGGACTTCAGTCTTGGACATGTTTTGTTTCTGACGAAAAAGTTGTAATTTCAGTTTTGGCAAATTCTCATTTTTGTAATGAATATTTTACCTTCGATTACTGTCAGAATAATCTGAGAACTTACAAAATATTTGGAGAGAGAGTTTCTATACGTGTGCGTTCTGCTTCGCTTCGAGTGTAAAGTTGTACTGAGCTCTCGGTGCCGACACCACAAAGGGATTGAAATTGGAGGCAGCGCCTGCTTCAGTGCGTGTTTTTTGGAAGTTTTTGGAAGTTCCATGAACAGAACAACACTTCACCTTGATGGGAAGTTATTTTGCGAATTGAAATGAAGGGGAACTGAAGGTGTTTTCTTGTTCGAATTATGCAATTGAAAGTCAGTTTGCAAGTCCAGCAGATCGAGTTTTAATCATATATTTCGATGCAAATTGATTTGCCAGAGACGCTCCGTAAATTAGCATGAAATATTTCCGCCCAGCTCCAACTATTTATCTCTGGTACCCTCGGAGACCTCAACCTTGCCGCGCTCATAAAGACTGATGAATATCTTTCCACACTTTTCATTGTTAATTCAATTAAATGGCAGGGAGGAGGTTTGCTCAAAGACCCAGACCGCTGGCTTTCAATTAAACAAAATTCGAGTCTAGGGCTTGCGCGGGAAAAGTGAGCAAAACTTTTACGAGAGCCGCTCTCAAGGTGGTTTCCATAAGCGCGATTACAGCCATTGCATGGCAGACAATTTCAATTTGAGTGCGAATAATGAAACGATTACAAAACCCACCAACCAAAGCCGGGTCCGGGTCCGGGCTAGGGCTGTGCCTGGGTCTGGGTCTGTGTGGGGTTCTCTGTCTCGCATTCGATTGCTTTCGGTCCGATGTCAGTTGTGAGCTCAACGCGACACGCTCTGGTCGTGGGGTCTCTCCGTTTCCCATCGCGTGTGAAATATTACCGTGTAGAGCTTCGGGTGGTTGACCCAGGGGTGACCTTGATCACAAAAGGATTCGATCGTTCCATTTCTGTTGAGTCCAACCCATGAGTGACGCCATCGTACTGATAAGGCCAGCGATAAGACTGCGCCAAATGGCGTCAGAGCGCGAAGACGGCACAGGAAAATGCTTTGATTAGAAGCTACCGAAAGCTAGATAGATACTCGCCGCAGATACTTTGTAGATAGATAACCAGATAAAGTGTAGATAATTGTGCCAAGCCAATAAGTAGACCTGAGCCGTGGCCGCGTTCGTGGCGCGACAGTTGGCTGGCGACATGTCCGTCGTGTGGATGGGCGTCTTCAAGGTGGCCTTGATAGTGGGCGGCACTTGCTTGGTGGTCACCCGGTAAGGCAATCGATTGATTCCAACAACCCACCCCTACAACTCACCCCTATACACCCATGCTCATTTGTTTTCCCACTCTCTGTGTGTCTTGCAGGAACGCTTACAGTCGAAGAGGTGTACAAAGACCGCGACCAGTTCGCGGCCTTGGTGCGCGAGGTGGCCGCACCTGATGTGGGTCGCATGGGCATCGAGATACTGTCCTTCACCATCAAGGATGTCTACGATGATGTGCAGTACCTGGCCTCGCTGGGCAAGGCGCAGACCGCTGTGGTGAAGCGCGACGCCGATGCCGGAGTGGCGGAGGCCAATCGAGATGCCGGCATACGGGAGGCCGAGTGCGAGAAGAGCGCCATGGATGTCAAGTACTCGACGGACACCAAGATCGAGGATAATACGCGCATGTACAAGCTGCAGAAGGCCAACTTCGATCAGGAGATCAACACGGCCAAGGCCGAGTCGCAGCTGGCGTACGAGCTGCAGGCGGCCAAGATCCGTCAGCGCATCCGTAACGAGGAGATCCAGATCGAGGTGGTCGAGCGGCGCAAGCAGATCGAGATCGAGTCCCAGGAGGTGCAGCGCAAGGACAAAGAGCTCACTGGCACCGTGAAGCTGCCAGCCGAGGCGGAGGCCTTCCGCCTCCAGACCCTGGCCCAGGGCAAACAGTGAGTGGCAGCCAACCAGCCAACCAGCCAACCAGCCATCCTCCCTCCCATTCATGCGTTTCCCCATTTACCCCGAAACAGGTGCCAGACCATTGAGGGCGCCCGTGCCGAGGCGGAGCGCATCAGGAAGATTGGCGCGGCCGAGGCACACGCCATCGAGCTGGTCGGCAAGGCCGAGGCGGAGCGCATGCGGATGAAGGCTCATGTCTACAAGCAGTACGGCGATGCTGCCATCATGAGCATCGTTCTCGAATCACTGCCCAAGGTCTGTCCACTGGATAGAGTGTTCTTCTGGTGTTGAATATTAATCGAAAACTCTCTCGCAGATTGCTGCCGAGGTGGCTGCTCCGTTGGCCAAGACTGAGGAGATTGTTCTGATCGGCGGCAATGACAACGTGACCAACGATGTGACCCGCCTGGTGGCCCAGCTGCCGCCATCGATCAATGCCCTCACCGGTGTGGATCTGTCCAAGGTGCTGGCCAAGATACCCGGAGCCAAGGCGTGAGACCTAATGGAGTGGGACATCCAGCAAATGGCAATGACAACGTAACGCAACGCAAAGGAATTGTAACTGACAAGGAACCAGCAAAATACAGAAAGATGGAGCTAGACAGAGAGAGAGAGAGAGAGAGAGAGAGAGGTGCAGCGAGATAGAGAGAGAGAAAGAGCGTGGAGCAGGCATTTGTTAGAGCGAGACGCAGCAGCAGAAGCATTAGGAGAACGTGAACGAGAGGCGTTGAACATAGCAAAATGTACTCCGATATTATATTTATATGTATATTCAGATACAAGCAGATGTGCCTGTCCTTTTGTCTGTGTCTGTGTGTGTCCGTGTGTGTCCGTGTGTGTCCGTGTGTGTCCGTGTGTGTGTGTGCGCTTGAGTTAAGTAACAATCAAAAAGTGAAGGTTAATCTCAGCTTAAGTTATGCATTTTGTGGCCTTTTCTCCAGTTAAACAGAATCAAATGCAAACAGAAAAGTGCAGAGTCTTAGCTACTCACAAACATATATTTAAATGTATATTTACACACATCTACACCATGTATACATGTATATGTACTATATATACATACATAAAGTACAGTCTATGAATTATACTTACATCTCTACTTAAGCTACGAAATTGTTCTTCGAGCCAGCCACTGGGGGCCGCCGGCCACATTTGTGAAGCTCGCTTCCATTGCCAAAAACAGTGTTGTGCAACACACTCTCTCTCTCTCTCTCTCTCTCACTGCACAGCTATTTGCATTTCCAAACTGTTCAAACTACTGAAACTGCCCACGAATGGACCAAAGGAGCGTGAGAGAGAGAGAGAGAGAGCGAGAATCAATCAATTTCGGATAGTTGTCGCTGCACAACACTGTTTCATCTCCAGCTTGAGCTCTTCCAACACACACAAACACACTCAGACACGTGCACACAGTGCTCTCGAATCGCATTTGTATTCAGTTTTTTGTGCACAAAGAGGAACACAATTGTGTCCACCATTTTATGTCCTACCTTAACCGTATTTTATTTATCCATGTTATGTTATCACCCAGTGTGGGTCCTACTTTACGCATTGTTTCTCGTTTTTTTTTTGTTTTGTTTTCTTTTGTTCTCTTTGAATTAATATTACTACAATTATTATGATACTTTATACGTTTGTACACCTTTTAGCGAAACTAACAAAAATGATATACCAAAAACGAAAAGCAGCAAGAAAAGTAGAAGAGGGGCAATCGTTTTGGTTAAACTGGAATTTAGTTAAAGCAATTTTTGTCATATTTTTCGATTGTTCTTTGCATTTGTTTTCTAGCGTAATTAAGCTTAATTTGTTTAAGCCATATCCCAAATGATTATCCAAAGTAAGCACACATTTTGCATACGTATCAGTAATACGCACACACACACACACACACACACCAACAACAACATATACACACATACATGCATCTATTTTTTTTCCTACTGTATATTAAGTGCAAGTAATTTACATAAATCGTAATGCCGCGCACCGGAAACAGCTGGAGTGCAGGAAAAAAAAACATATAAACGAAGAGAAACTAAACTAAATACTAAAACTAAATAAATCAAATCTTACATTTTGTGTATTTTGTCGTAAATAAATAAATTGAAAAATAAATGTAAAGATCAATTTGGAAATACTTTTTGGAGTGTGTCATCAGAACGGATTCTAGGTACTAGGGGACTTTTCTTGTTGGCTAAATTAATCAACGCTTATTCAGTTCCATTTTGAAATAGTTTTAAACAACATTCCGATGCCATAATGATAGGATAAGCAGAATTGTGTTAAGCCAAAAAACCGTGTTTTGATCTTATAAATACTTGAAGTTTGAGCGAGACTTTTCCTAGCTGTGCTCCTTCATTTATTTTGTGATTTGCGTGCCAAATGTGGGAAACTTTCAATGGCAAAACCCATTGAAATGCAATCACGTCATTCACGTACATTTACGTTTAAAAGTGAAAACAATAAAGGAACGTGTGATCCACGGGCAAGTGCAAAGAGTTCAATTTAGTTCCCCATTCCCCATGTTTCCCTCTCCCAACCCATGGACACAGTACATGTTCTAACTTGTTTCTTCACTCCGTCGTTTATTCTCAAACATCATAGCACACATTTCACATATAATTGCGGATGCATGCCATACGCCGCCTTCTCTGTTGCCATACATTTAACAATCAAATATATATTATTTATTATCTTAGGACACTAAAAAAAAAAAAAAAAAAGGTGCTTGCGTGCTTAAACTTTGGAATATCAACGATATCCGATGCGTCATTAGGTATAATCAAACGATCTGATCTAATCTGATATACATTTACATAGAGTGATGATGGATTCTAGATTATAGACTGTGGGGTGCGTCAGACGGGGCTGGGGATGGGGATGGGGATGGGGCGGTGCTTACACTACGAGTTCAGCCTATTCTACTCTTAGAGACTATGGACCAATCGAACGACTTATCGAGACCTACGTCTATGTCTAGGACTAAATGTTTTTCCGAAGGTCTAAATGCAATGCTTGCACGAGCCCCGCACGGGACCAACATTGATGGTTATCGTACACAGTATTAAAACAGACAAAAAAAAAAATAGCGAACGATTGGAAAATATTTATCCTCGTAGATCCCGGATGTGGGCAAGAGTGCCTCGGGGGGGGTCTCAGTCCGAATACTTGGCCTTAAGGTCCTTGCGCAGTATCTTGCCGGTGGGATTCTTGGGCACTTCGTCCACGAAGATGACGCCGCCCTCGAGCTTCTTGTAGTGGGCCACACGCTCGGCCACGTAGGCGGCAATGTCCTCGGCCGTGGCCTCCTCGCCCTGCCGGAGCACGACAATCGCCCGTGGCGCCTCCCCGTTCAGCTCGTGCGGGATGCCAAAGACGGCTGCCTCGAGGATCTTGGGGTGATCGCGGAGCACGGCCTCCAGCTCGGCTGGCGGCACCTGGAAGCCCTTCACCTTGATCAGCTCCTTCATGCGGTCCGTGATGTAGAAGTAGCCATCCTCGTCGTAGAAGGCCACGTCGCCAGTGCGCAGCCAGTTGCCCGGATAGAAGGTGACCTGGTTGGCCTCCTCGTTGTTCAAATATCCGGACATCACCTGCGGACCGCGCACACACAGCTCGCCCGTGGTGCGGGGTCCCACACCCTTGAAGTCGCCGCCATCCAGGGGCACAATCTTGGACTCGGTCGAGCCAGGAAGAATGCCCGTCGAGGCGTAGCGGGTATTGCCATCCGGCGTGAGCAGCACCACAGGCGAGGCCTCGGTCATGCCATAGCCCTGCTTGAAGGCGGCCTTGGGGAATCTACAAACGGAATCGAGAGTTTACATTTAAGTTGCGAGTCCTCGTGCCATGCCACTCACTTCTGCAGGAAACGCTCGACATCGTGCTGGCCGATGGGCGCCGCTCCGCTCATCACAACTCTCAGGGCGGGTGCCGTCTCCTGCGTCAGTTTGGGATGATTGATCATGAAGAGGGCTGCAAACAGACAAAGGATCCATCCAATGAGTTACCTTCCGCTAGCCAATCGTCTTGAAGAACTCACCTATGGGCGGGACAAGATTCAAGATGGTGCCCTTGTAGTGGTCGAGAGACTTCATGAAGTCGTCCGGCTTGAAGGCCGGCATGGTGGCCAGCCGGGCGCCCTGGCCCAGCTTGGAGAGCATCACCACAGTGAGGCCGTAGATGTGGAAGAAGGGCAGCACTCCGGGCAGCGTTTCCTGGACGCTCAGGTCCAGCGGCAGGGCGGACTGAACCTGTTCGCAGTTGCTGGTGATGTTGTTGTGGGACAGCATCACGCCCTTGGGCAGGCCCGTGGTGCCCGAGGAGAAGGGCAGGAAGACCATGTCGTCGGCAGTGGCGTCCTTCGACACCTGCAGATCATCGTAGCGCACATTCTGGGTGCTGATCAGCTCGTAAAAGTCAATGGCTCCCGCGGGCAGTGCCTCATCCTGCCGGCCCCGTATGACGGCAATCGGCAGCCGCTTGCCGGCCAGCCTGCAGGCCTCGCTCAGCGTTCCATGGTTCTGCAGGGTGCCCACGATGAAATTCGCCGCACTGAAGGTTAGCTGACGAGCGATCTCCTCTGCAATTCATCAAAGTAAAGCAAAGACAAATGTTAGCGATGATCTTTCGACTTTAGACCACCCCGAACAAAACAACACACGGAAAAGAACAGATTTCTACAACATTCCCATAAAGTTTAGTGGGTAATGGGTCTGCTGATAAGGCGCCTCTGACGCACTTGAGAGCCCTCAATAAATACTTTAGCCCGAATTTTACATATATGCATATGCGTGTACATATACATATTTAAATGGCAATAATCCGCGTGTGTAATCCGAGTTTTTGGCGCAGTCGGGCGTGAACTTTCTCCTCTCATTACTTGGTTCTTTTTTGAGCACAACTGTACTCGACCTACCCGCAGTGTAGATGGGATTGACGGTGGTCACGGTCAGTCCGGCCTCGATGGCTCCCAGCGTGGCAATGGGATACTCCGGCATATTGGGCAAACAGATGGCCACCACGTCCGGCTTGCGGAGCTTGAACTTTGTCTGCAGGCGTACCGCAAAGGCGGCACTGGCGTCCCGCATCTGGGCAAACGTATACTGGCGATCGGTGACGACGCATACCTGAAAGGAGCAGGGGATTATAAATGAGTTGAAGTTCGATATGTAGCCATGAAGATAATCACAATAAAGCCACTAATCGTACTCCCAATTGATTTTAGAGTGGCCCCAACCCAGCCTTGCCTGCCCTGCACTGCCCTTCCCCAACCACTCAACCGGTTCGGGGCTAAGGTGAAGGTCAGCAACATTTGCAATAACAACTCAGAATCGTGGGAGATAGTGTGGGAGGGGATCGGTTCGCCGTTTGGGGGGTTTGCTGATTGCGAATTGTCCACATTAAATTTGCGCAGTCCGAAAATCGCATATGGTTAAAAATAAACCTTATAAATAGCGACAGTGCCAGCCACAAGCAAAACCAACAACTAAAAGCATATCAAAACATTTTTAAGTAAACTCAAAACAAGAGGGGAATGAATACTGGCCAGTCGGGGCTGGTCGCAGCTCTTGATACCCTTCCAGATCGTTCGTTAACAGAACGGAACTGGAAATTCCTTTAAGGACTTGTAGCGAAATCCTGATGTGTTCGAAATGATCATACCCTTTAATAGGGTAGCCGCAACCAAACACTCAACACACAAACACACACACACACACACAGAGTCGTTGTAGTAAACTCAATAACAAGAGAATCATTTCGTGCATTTGTCGATCCCCGCTCTGCCTCCCTCTCCCTACTCTGCGCATCAAGCAACGCTTCGCTTCGCTTTGTTCGGCTGTTTGTGGGCGCACAACGACGGTCCAAAGTTCAGTGGGGCAAAGTACAAAGTCTGCAAAGTCTAAACGAGTCGCGTCGATTCGCGCCTCTCTCTCTCTCTCTCTCTCTCTCTGTGTGCACCTCTCTTTGCATACACCTCCATCTCCCACGCTCTCTCGTTTTCTATTGGTATCTCTTTTGCTCTGCTTTCGTGTGATGATGGCCCGGCGTCGGACGGATGCCGCTGCGTTTGTTGACTTTTCTTGCCGTTCATGCCGACCGAGCATCGTGCAGGGGGAGAAAGGGAGGCTGGACCCCATTGACTGCTGCCGCTGCTGACGTCACAGCGCAAACAAAATCATTAAAATTTCGACAGAAAAAGAACGAAGAAACAGAGAGCGTAAATAATTATAACAAAACAATTTTTATGATCAGCGACCGACCAGCCGGGGGGAATTTCGACCGGGTTCATAATGGGTGCACCCATAAATTAGCACAGAAATCGATCGATAATGTGGGAGCAACGCAAATGCAACAAGACAGAGACCTCAGTCCTTACTGCATTTCAATCTGCTGCCCAAGCCCAACTCACTTCTATTTTATTTCTATGTGCATTAGTGCATTACCCAATATAAATTTGATGAAACAAATTCCTGCTCTATGCACTCATAGTCGCTGTCATGGCATGAACGATCGATGTGTAGCAGCAGGTATTACATTAGTTAGTGGGGGCTTGAATTTGTTTATCTTTTTGTGTGACAACTGTTAGGGCCTGGAGGCACAACTAAAGGAACTTTGGACCGGGCCTGGCGCTTTTAATTGCATTTAATTCAACAATTGGCCTCCAGCTCTGGTTACGCCAGTCCAACCACACACATGTGGTGCCGTTTTTCGCATGTGTTTGTGTATTTACAGGGTGATTACTCGGTTATATGTATCACAGTCCCCGCCGTGCATACTGGCACCTCACCTCGCCCACACACTGCAAACATTGCAATAATGGCAATCAATTTCAATGAAAATTATTTGCACTTTGATTTGCACAAAAGTGGGAGGGAGAGAGTTTGGGATAGAAATATCGAAAAGTGAAACGTGTAAACATTTGGCGAAGGTCATCGTCGCCATGCATGTAAATGGAGAGGGATGGGGGCTGAGGAAAAGTTATGCAAGTGCCTGGCGAAACCCGAACGCCATCCGGGGGTATGATCTGTCATATGAGACTCGTTTGCCACTTGACGCGATTCGTTGAACCGGGTGTCTGC